AGGACTATCACGCCCCATCTCAACGAACGGGATGATCTCCCGGTCATTGACCCCACGCATCACCACACAGTTCACTTTCAATTTAATCCCTGCCCCCATCTTATTCAATTCCAAGATTTTATCAATACTTTTCATCACAGCATCGAACCCCTTCCTCCTCGTCATGATTTGGAACTGGAAGGGATCTAAAGTATCGAGACTGAGATTTACCCCAGTCAGACCTGCCTCCACCATAGGTTCCAGTTTCCGGTGTAACGAGATTCCATTGGTTGTAAGGCATAGCTCCCGAAGACCGTTGCGTCGTAGATCGCCGATCGACTGCATCAAAGGAACAATATCCTTCCGAACAGTAGGTTCACCGCCTGTTAAGCGGATCTTCGTTACCCCTTGCGAGACGAAAAGGGAGGACAGGTAGACTATCTCGGGGGACGTGAGCAGGCGAGCCGGTGGCGAAAGCTCGATGCCTTCTTCCGGCATACAGTATACACATCGGAGGTTGCAACGCTCGGTGATGCTGATTCGGAGATAGTCATGTTGACGGTTGAAGGTATCCGTCAAGAAATCGGAAAACGGCTTCGCGGTTTTCAAGGCAGTCCATCGCGGGGAAGGTTTTTGAGTCGAGGTATCAGGATTAGGAAAATAAGTGGCGGGGAGAGATCTCGTGTCATTCTTTCCATTCTCTGCCGGCGAGGAGGCCGTGCTATACTGCGAAGCTGCTTTATTCCTACCGGTCAATATCTGTCGGAGGTAGGTGCGGGGATACCGCCGAAGGGATGGTAGAGAGGCCATCAACCCGCGTCGCGATAGTAAGAATCCAGTCATCATGAGCAGGGATGAGGCGAAACGGTGACGCAAGCCCAACTGTTTCCGGCATATCAGTGAATAAGTTTGAATGGGAGAGTGGTGGGCATTTGGGTCTTAAAGGCAGGAGCTTATGGCTAGGTAAGGGAAGGAGGGGAATGGATCCCAAGAAAGCTTGCTTATCATCATCGAGTCATCCCATGGCGTTTCATTCGCTGAGAGGCTGCGTCTCCGCAGAAATACCTCGTTCGGGCAAGCCCCGCCTTTTCACCGGTGATGTAACCGGGTCTAGCCGAGTTGGGAAGTACTACCACGAGCAGTCTAGTGGACTTTACGTTGTTGCAAGAATGAAGAAAGATAGAGAATATATGCGACAATACAATTCTTTCTCGTATATAATAAGGCGCCCAGAAGAGTGAGTTGAATCACTATCCCTGCGCCGGAAGCATCTTCTGCACCCGCTTCACAAGGCTCTGTTCAAACTGCTCGACGCCTCTGCTCTGTTCCTTGAGCTTTCCACCCTTCAGGACATAGACAGCTCGCCTCCGACTCTGAGTCTCGTCCGTCTCTTGGTCAAGACCCTCAAAGTCATCGTCCAGTTGATGCTCCTCATCACGTTTGCCTTCTATGACCGAACGGACCAGGAACCGATCATGCGATACTAAGAGAATTGCCCCGTTGAACGAAGATAGCGCAGATGCGAGGGCTGTAACAGTATGGAAATCCAAATGGGTGGTGATTTCGTCCAAGACGAGCAGATGTGGCGAATTCCAAATGACTTTCGCCAATGCTAAACGGACCTGTTATTAAGCTGAATTAGCTTCCGTTTGATCATGTGTCTTTATACTTCTTTTGTGCTCACAAGTTGACCGCCTGATAGTCGAGACACGGGCACATCGGAGGCGATTCGGCCCTGGAGACCCAAGCTTGATAACAAACCCCTCAGGTGACCTTCGCTCATTGTCCCATCTGTTTCTTTGGTCATAAGGCCTAATGCGGTTAGGTTAGGGTCAGCTTGACCCTGTTCTTGCAGGTCCTCTATTGAGTGCTGTGCATAGTAACCGAGTTTTAGTCTCGAATGTGTTGATATCTTTCCCTTAGTTGGCAACGCATTTCCGACAAGGAGGCGGATTAATGTGGACTTTCCGCATCCATTGAGACCCATGAGGCCAACTCGATCCCCCATATGCATGACAAGGTCCACTCCATCCAATACTGGAGCTCCGTTCGGCTTATACTTGAAAACAATCCCCTCCGTAGAAATAAGCGGCCCTGGATACCGCAGTTCTGTGGCGTCAGGTAGGACTATAGTAGTACCCTTTTCGTCTGTCGGAACCTCGATCTCCTCTCGAGAACTCGAGTGCCATCCAACTCGGTCTCGACTCAGTTTGAACCGCCCCCCAGTCGCACTCACTTGGACGCCCATCCTGTCATCCAGTTTCTTTTGCCGCGACTTGGCCATACGCAATTTGTTATCATCGTTTGTTTTCTTCCCCGTCTTGGTTGTTTCACGGATGGTTGCTTCCATATGAGCAATCTGGCGCTCCTGGGCCTCCTTCATACGACCCCAGTACAACTTCTGCTCTTCAAAATCTTTCTCGTAGGCCGACAAGTTACCCTTGAAGTATGTGAGCTTCTGGTCCCTTAGAATAATAATCTCTTCGCAGACAGCATTTACGAAGTCTCTATCGTGGGAAACCAAGATGATAGTGGTTTGTGATGAGTCCTTCAGCTGTCGAAGGTAGTTCTCAAGCCAAACTACTCCTAGCAAATCCAAGAAGTTTGTCGGTTCATCGAGGATCATGAAGTCCGGGCTCTGAATAAGGACACTTGCCAGCATACATCGCATACGCCAGCCTCCGGATAACGTTAGGAATGGTTTATCGAACGAGGTTTCTTGGAAGCCTAAACCAATCAAAATTTGACGCGCCTGTTGCTCAATGTCGGCCAATTTCATCTAGTTGCGCCAAATTCAGTGACTGTCATTGTGTTCCCAATAACTTCCGTACTCACAGTCTCGAACTGAGCCTGAAGGTCTTGCAAAGTATCCATTGCAGCCTGCGTGTCTTCTTTGACAGTATCGGCGTCGATTGATTCTTTCTCCTCGTTCAATCTATAGATATCAGACACTGTACAAAATTTCTTGACCGGGGCGACTTACATTTCTAGTGAAGCTTGGAACTTGTTCTCAGCTGCTTTGAGGTCCTTCCGCGCTTGTAAGCCTCTGGCTCCACTCTTCAAGTTCGCATTCTTCTGAGCAAGGAACAGCTCTTTTCCAGCCTTGTCATGGCGGACTTTGCGAATAGCGCCGACCGGTTCCAAGGGATCCTCCGTCTCAAAACTCTTGGACAGGACTTCAATATAGTTTTATCAGATCTGGTGTGAAAAGTACAACGAATCCATTAGAAGAATAGGTAGCTTACGGCTCATCTTCTGAACCAATTCATTCCGGGAATGATCACTGCTCAGAACATATTGAAGGACTGTCTTGTTTTTGTTTTCTGCTTCCTCGGCGGCAAAGTCCTTGAGGTCGTCTTCCGACGCGGTCTCGGTCTGTTGCAAGATAGCTATACGTGTCGAATGTGGAATGCCAGGGACGAGTTTGTCTGCCATAGCTCGTAGGAGCGCTGCAGGTAACATATATTAGCTTAACCATGTCACCAGTTTCGTCTTATTGCTTTTCTCCATTGCATGATATATATGGAAGCAATGCTTACTCGACTTTCCAGTCCCATTGCGACCTATCAGCCCATAGTGTATACCTGCCTTCAACCGCAGATGAGCATCTGAGATAAGTTCTCTTGCATCTGGCTTTCCCTTAGATTTTCCTTTGAGCTTTGACTTTGAGGGATCCTCTGAAGTATTCCGTGTTGAAGAGACGGCGACGGTGAGGCCCTCTACATCAATCTGTGGTGTAACACCATTAGTCCACGATAGTAAAGAGAAATCTTGCAGCGGAATACCTCCTGAGTCGGCCTATCATCAAGCAGATGGAACCGAGTCTGTTTGCAAGTTGCGAGAATAGACGACTTCATATTCAGAATAGCTATCAAAGGTCGCGCAATTCAACTAAAGACACAAGTGGTAGGACAAGTCCAAAGGAGACTTGGATAGAGCAAAGATATAGTTGATGGAAAGGACAGTTTCATTACTACTCATGCTACTCTACATTTCATATAAAGTAGCAGGCCTCTGGGGGAAATTAGGGCCCGACTAGTAAGGGGTAGCATTGAGATCGGTAGTGCATTCTTTGAGGCAAACATAATGCATAGAACTTCATTCTCCACAAGGGATACTGAGTCACTTGGATGATCACACATTGAGAGCTGTTCAAGCCAAAAAAAGAAAGCAGGGGAACGTCGGGGTCCCGAAAAGGAATAGCCGCTCCATATTGGCCTGAGGAATCAATTGGTGGCTCAGGCTCGTATTGCTCGCAAAGATGTGATGTTAAGGCACTTTGCCGAGGTCGTCAATGCGCTTTTTATGTGGCAATGTGGATTCCATGACTCATAAATGAGTCATGGTCCTGAAAGGCTCCATAGCAATTGAGTACTACGTAGATCGATTCAGTTGGAAGCGTGAGATAAGAGTGATAAATCATCGCCCGTGCTGAAACTGCATATTCTTCCAACATACAACTACAGGAAGAATCAGAAATCAGTTGATGGGGATTGTATGGCCTATATCATGTGTCCTTAAAAGATACAGTAACCTCATACACGATACTTTGTACCAAAAGCTGTCTGTCTCTGTGCAACCAACACCTACCGATAACGTTAAATGACAATATATAAGCACTTGTGATAAAGGCAGCAGAACTTCGTGCCTTCTATCCAATGGTGTCAGTCCAACTGAAGGCCTGACCGACAACTCACCATGGACTAACTGATCGTCCTGTCTGTTGCTGTCTAATGGCAGATGGATTTTTTTTTTCTCCAGCTGCTGAGAGATGGTTGTGGGAAATCGCAGCTGAAGCGGGGCCCTGCGGGGTACTTTTACGCATGCCACCGTGCACTGCCGGTGTAGCTGAAAATAAAAGAGTTAGCAGATGCTGTCGGGACAAAATATATAAATTGACCCTCAAGTCAGATAACTTTTCATTCTCGTCCCTCACCTCCCCATCCTGCCAAGCCCTTCGATTCCTAGTATACCATATAAAATCACCTATCGTGAAGCCATCAGAAAATCTCTTCTCCAAGATGCCTGTTGAGACTATTACCTCGTAAGTAGTGTTAAGGATTTGTTTTCCCTCTCGGACGAAATTGTTCAGTGCTAATGGTGATAATATGGTAGATTCGAACAGTTCAAAGAGCTTATCAACGGTGATAAACCTGTTGTAATTGATTTCTGGGCAACATGGTGTGGACCTTGCAGAATGATCTCCCCTGTTTTTGAGAAATTATCAAACACCGGTGGCTTCGACTCTGTCGGGTTTTATAAAGTTGATGTCGATGCCCAACCAGAGATTGCCCAGGAAGTTGGCGTTAGAGCAATGCCAACCTTCTCACTCTTTCACAAGGGTATCAAAGTTGACAGTCTGGTTGGAGCTAATACCAAGGGATTGGAAGAGCTTCTTGTCAAGGCAGCTTCTTCCTAAAGCACAAGCAAGACAGTCCGCATTTTCCATGTTTTTCCATGAGGCCGGTTAAAGCGAGGAAGAGTGGGACAAGTGATTGTATCTAATTCTAAATTCTTTTGATCAGATATCCCGCTGAAAAAGGCTGTATGGCTTAGCTCCCCATTACTATTCGGCACCTTTGTTTATATAAATTACTGCTGGCCTTAAAATATACAGGCACTGGGCAGCGATGCTGCCCTGTCAACCATCTAACTTGATTTTGCTTGGTTATAATAGCACAAGCCTCGGCCCTGCATCCGTCAAACGAATGAGAGATTAGATCCTTACATAGCCTTAAGTTGCCTCTAGGAAGCGCGAATTCCAAACTTAGAATTAACTCTTGATCATTAAACAGAATCTGAGTCGAGCTTATTCATAAGTAAAAGTTAATCCCGACCATACTGTAAGAGTACAAAGGTGATTGAAATAGTAGCAAAGAATGTCGAGGCTTTCAGGCCGATGTAGCGGCTGCCTATACCGGTCAAACATAGATTCATGGCTAGAGCTCGGGTCCTCATGGTATACAGGTTCATCAAGGAATCACCAGCAAGAGCCCCTAAACTTGGCAAACTCAGACGAACACTGCTTTATGTCTTCTGTGTAAATCTATCGCTAGTGTTTGTCTAGCCGACCTGATGTGAAGTGTCTAGCATGACGTTGATAAATCCATTGTTATATACGATCGAAGGTGCAGCTAATGAATTGGATTAAGAATCTCACTTCTAGACTCGCCACTCGATCGAAATGACACAGCAGTCACGTAGATTGTTCAACAACCTACAGATCAGCAGCATGTTCTAGATCTCGAGAAAAGTAATGACAGTAAAGCCATAGCAATTTGGCCTTTCCATTGACTTGCGGGGAGTGTACTATCGCTACAGGTATTCATGTATACGTAGCAAGATAATTGCATCAATGGGGTGGTACAATTGAGTTTCCATTCGGTAAGTTACGTGAACTCAAAAAGCGGCCCAGCAAACAGTCGATTTGTTGAGTTCTTGTATAATACCTAAGCATTACATCTTCCGACGTGATCATGATGATATAGCTTCCTGAGCCATGTTTACAATATAGCAAACCGTGGGGCTACAGACGGATCTCCAAGATGTTGGTAGATTGTTTACCAAACCCAGCAATAACCCTGCATCTCTAACCAGATATAGTACTATCTCTTGCATCACAAATTGATCATGCCTTGCAAGACAGACGTCAAGCGGGTATACCATGACCTCATATCGTTTCTATAGAGGGACTCGAGAAGTATAAGAATAGCAGAATTGAACCGCATCGAGGAGTGATATATCGAAGCAAATCATAGCAGCACTGATAAAGAGTCTTATACTTTATCTCAATTCCCAAATTCACAATGGCCTCAAACACAAACCCGGGAAACTTCAGCAACCGCCCCCACGAAGAGGTTGAAAACATTGCCCGCAAGGGTGGCCAAAGCTCTCACTCTGGAGGTTTCGCCAGCATGGACCCTGACAAGCAGGTAGGTCTCTCATCGATCTCAGTACTTTCCTCGATACTGATGCATTCGTCAGAGAAACATCGCTTCCAAGGGTGGTCAGGCCTCGAGCGGAAGCTTTGAACCCGGTGATCCTAGAGCCCGCGAGGCCGGCCGCAAGGGTGGCTCAAGAACTCAATATGACCAACCCGAGGAGTAAAAAAGCCGTTATCGGATGATAACTTGTTGCCATACTACTTGTATTTTTTGATGATTATGATATTGTAAACTGTACTGTACCTGGGACGAAACTTACTTTGTTAACATGACAATGTATCTATGAGATAATTAACACCGGAAACGGCATACCATTGCCTTCAAATCTTCTTCTTTTCAAGTTCCTGCAACATCATATCTCTCATACTGAATTGCCATCATTGTGTAGTAGATATTGGTAGAAATGATGTCCCACCGACGTATTAATCTCCACATAAACCAACCACGGCCAATTAAGACGTCAGCAGTGCATCACCACAAATTGTCCGTTTTCGATCAAGATACAAAACCCACAACTTGTCATCGGGTGTCAGTTTTCTTCAGCTTAATTGAGTTTCTTGGAATGGTATGTAGTGGCAATTAAGAAATGGTGCTGCCTTCCCGAGAACTACACTGCCACACTCGAGCAGCTGCTTTTAGAATTAGCTTACGACATGGCGACCAACGTATACGAGCTACATCCACCACTTAGTTCATCCACCGCTTAGTTTCTTCTTTTTATTGTATTTATTTTTGGCAGTGTTGCAAGACACGTTCTTGGGTTTTATGCTGGAACAACGATGCAATATTCTTATTCGACCCCGTGGTCTTCCATCGTGATGTGACATATGACTCCTAAAGCCTAGAAGGATATCCGACGGTGCACCCGACGTTCACCCGATGGAGATATACATATCGCGTTTCAAACTATTGGACCACGGGATTTTTTAAGTTTTATATATAGTACTATTAATTCATGCGCTTTTCTTTTTGGTAAACCTACTTTTGATCTACCTGGTAGACTATGTACGAATTTACAAATTTGAAATATAAAAATGTAGATCGTACAAAAACAGACATTATCCACAGCCACCGTGCACAAGGTGGTGGATAATTTTCAGGTTGACGCTTTGATCTAAGAGTCGAGCTGACATGCTGGAGAAAGAGACAGCGCTCTAACAACCCAGAGATTCACCATTCATTAGGTGCTGCGCCGACGTCGAGGTTCTAGCCTTCAGGCCATATTCCAAATAACCCCTTGATGCCCTGACTGCGACAACGTAGTGGCTGTTGCGTCGCTGAGATTTCTATACTTCAGTGTTATTATAGAATCAAGGCTCTCAGGCGCTGAGGTCACCCATTGGCCGACCGTCTCTTTCCACACACACGTAGAAGCTAGACTTGTGCCAAAACTAGGTTGTTGGAGACTCCCGCGGGATCACATTGACCAGCAATTGCGGGTCTGACCATCTGACGTGGGCTAGTCTAGCAGGCTATTTGTTTCTATACTTGGTTTTGAAAACACCTAGAATAGACCGTGGGCTATGTATCGTGTTGGATAAGAGAGTGTCTACTGGAGGGAACATTTGAACTTCTGTGTGCAATAGTCGATAGTCCAGGATGTCCTCAAACAATGGATCGTACTATAGTCTATGGAGAAATTCACCCGACTTTCCTTTTGCTGCAGGGGGTTTATGCTAATGCTGTAGTATCCAATAGATTGACAAGAAGGCCTTTGGCTCTATTGAAAACTATCGCTCTTAGTATTGGTTGTCAGTGGTGGAAGATATAGTTGTCTATGCACTTGTGCACGAGACAAATTATTACCGTCTAGGGCTAAGACTTTCCCTAACAGGATAGGTTGAACATTGGAGGTCGATTATCTTATCTCAAAACAGTAATCTGAAGTTCAATGTAAATACTAAACCATAGTTGTGCTCGGTTACCAGCTAGCGTTAACCAGTCTGTTGATCACCATTGCCTGCTAAATCTTTAGCCTCTCAATCAGAGTGCTGAGGCCTTCTAGCCAACTTCTTGGGGCAAACTATAACGCTGCTAAGCACTGCCCGTGGAGGAAACTTAGAAGAGGCTAAACAAACTATAGAAAAGACTTTTTTTGAGGTATTTTCAACCCATGTGGCGGCAATTCTCCGGAGGGGAGGCGAGGTGTCGGTACAATGGCTTGACAGTTGTATGTATCACACTCCTTTTTTTATTTTTATTTTTTATTTTTTTTCTCTTCGCCCCTTTGTGACAAGTTGTAGAACTGTGGCTTTGTACGAGTAGTACCTTTGTAGTCACTATCCACGTATTTGCTTGAGGCGATTGAGTCCAGCCTTATGGATACGATCTTTTGCTTACGCGGTTTGGGAAAATCTAGGCCATTGTTTGTTGTAGGGCCGGGCTGTTAAAGGATTTTGGAAAGCCGGAGATATCGCATGTATGATACCAAATAAGGGTATTTCGACCGAGGAGTTCTCCTTTCACAGTTTCAGATTGTTACAAGGGAAATGGCGTGCCATGGGTAGATTACAGAACTTACGACCTATTTTCCATGCTTCACACAGATGAGAAATATCAATTTTACATCAATTCCACGACATTCCAGATTCCTGAGGTCTTCTGGTACTCCGTATACTCCGTAGAGAGGTATGTAGTAGTCAGCGGAGCGAAGTCGCACTTCTCGCTGGTGGCGCTGGTCATGGTCAGCCAGGGGTGCAGTGTGGGAGAGCTAACTTAGCGGCATGGCTCGGCCCAACCTAAAAGGAGATGGACTCCAGCTGAGCAGAAAAACCAGACCGGAAGATGGCCGGAATTCAACGGCCCAATGGCTGACAGTCGCGCAGCACATCCACACGGGCGAGACGCCCACCTTTGGTGGAAAGCCCTAACCTAAAGGGGCCAACGAAGGCATTATGCCCCATTTTATTCTCTAGGGGATAATCAGTTAGTGTGTCGAAGAAGGGTAGGGGCGTTTGCATAAGTGGCTATGCCGTTGAACGGGAAAGTCCTTAGTTCTATGCCAAGCTTTTGCTTTCGGTGATGATGATCCACCAAAACCCACTGAAAAATTTCCACCAGCGACCAAAGATTGAAAAGTGAGGATCAAGCGGTTCGCTTCTAGGAGGTTGAGAATGGACAATGATTGAACCATTGCTATTCTAGAACCCCGCTGATGGTGGATGAGGAGGCATCTAGAAAGGTCCGTCGTTACTAGTTGGTGGTTGTCGTACGCTATCAACTTAGACTCGCACTGTTTGGTTATCTGAATCGTTTGCGGGTTTGAAACACTGGTATGTGGTCACCATTCCTATGGAAACTGTAGTTTGACGTCAAGTCACCACCAAGTCACATTCCAAGGAACGGAGGTACACTTTTCCACCACAACCATGTGAACATGTGGATGCTGGAACACCACACATGGTCGTTTTTCAGGAAGGGAGAAGTCAAGCTGTTGAATTTGTTTCTGATGAAATGGCTGTTGACCAAGTACACTTTAATTGGTCTATGTGAGCGCCACAGGCGTCACAAGGGAGAGAAGATACCCTAAATGGACGATTTTAGAGGGTCGGCAATGGAACAAATTGTACGACTTGAACTTGCCGGGACTAGAAATACACCTGAAACGGAAAAGTGTCACAGAAAAAGAGAGGAGTAAAAAAGAGGTAAAAGGAAGGGGAAAAAGAAATAAAATAAAAACATTAAAAAATAAATAAATAAAAAAAATAAAAAATAAAAAAATAAAAAAGCATAAAAACAAACTAGTCTCATTGGAGGCAATTGAACTGCATTACCTAACAAGGGGGACGGTCAATCGCCTTGCTAGTAGGAAATGCGAGATGTGTGCTACGCTCTACCTTCCTCCTCTCGCACGGTTTAATTACTTGCCTCGCTAACTGGGGTAAGACCCGTGACTAGGCAACGGGCTAACTCAGGTATGTGCAGCTACTGCGGTACTTCCCATAAGTTGTTACTCACTTTGAATATGGTTGTTCACCTCGATTGCATTGAATTTTCTCAAAGAAGACAGACAAAGTTAATCAGAATAATTCAAAATAGCCTAAACGTCCGTACTCCATAGAAGCAGTAAACAAACATTAGATCTTATCGAAGATCCCCGTCGTCTGTATGTCCACTTAAGTTGGTGAGGAAGGACGGGGCCAGTCAGGGAACGAGTGGATTCCCAAGTAGGGTACAGGACACCCGAAACCCTAGTCGGACCTCCTACGGACTAATCACAGTTGATGATGAAGTGGGGAGGTTGGCTGAGTCAGCGGAGGACGCGCAAGCCGGGTGAACCTGATTTCTATTCCTGGCGTGGAGAAACGTCCCACTCAGTTGATTCCCCTGGCGCCTCCCTTCCACTCTTGCTCAGGCGCGAACTCCATTCTCCTCTCTTCCTTCCCTCCCCTATTGTTGCCAACTCTCTCTTAACCTACACATCTATTCCATTTCCATTTCCTCTTCACATCCATCGTCGATCTTCTATCCCACCACAACACACCATCGCTTTTTCTCTCATCCCCACTGTGTACCGTGGGTGATCGTTCGTCTTCTTGTGCTTAGCCTGTTTTCGTTTTTCACCTCGCTTCTTAATCTCCCTTATTGGACTCGTACACGACCTCCACCTCGTCTCTCGCTATCATCCGGGCCGATCGAGTCTTGTAATCCACCAACACCCACTTTCTATCCGACTTTAAAAGCACACTGTCCCCTCAATTATCCCCGGGGCACATATATCATACACATCATGGCCACATTAGCGGAACATCCGGTTGTCGCCCCGTCGACGTACGATCAGGATATCGATACTTTCCTCAACCTCGATCAGCTCACCTATACCACATCAGAGCCAGCCAGGCCCAAGGCGGCCCTGGCTCAACCATCCATCCCTCCTACAGAGTTCAACGCTGGTGATCTTAGAAGCGCCAATTTCGCCGCAACGGGTCAATCGCCGATCGCTTTCCAAGGCCCGAGCCACCAGTATGACGAGCACAAGCAGCAGACAGGTCTTCCTCCAGGTGCTCTGGCTCAAGCAATGACTTTTAACCAAATGAACGGAATGGGGTATGGTGGTGCCAGCCCTGGGTATATGATGAACACCGACATGTTTACTGGTACTCACCTGAAGCGTGAGGACGCTTCTCTCGACTTCAACACAATCCCGAGCCGTAACCCCTCAGAGATGGACCTGGAGTCCGATAACATGGGTGCGGTCCCCGGTTATTTCTTCTCGCCAAACCCCAACAAGAGCCAATTCGTCGACCCCAGCGCCATCGGTGGCCAGGAGGTGGTCCCCGCTGGTCCATCGACCCAGGTCGGTCGCATGTACCCCGGAATGCATCAGCAGCAGGCTGCGATGGCCAAGGCGGCTCAACAACAAAAGCATCATGAAATGATGCGCCAGCAACAGCAATTGCAGCAACAGCGTCGCATGGAAGAGCAGATGCAGCAAAATGGAAACACTCAGGTCCAGCCCCCTCGCAACACGAACCCGATCGTGGAGGAGCGAATCACCCGTCTTTTGCAGCAAATGAGACAATCCAGCGCCTCGAGCTCGCCGTCCGATTCTCCCAGCCCCTCTGTCTTACCTCAGATGGCCAAAGCCAAAAAGGATGAACAGGATATGGACGAAGATGAAAGATTGCTTGCTAGTGAAGAAGGCAAGAAGCTTAGCAGCAAGGAACGCCGTCAGCTTCGTAACAAGGTCTCCGCTCGTGCTTTCCGGTCCCGCAGAAAGGGTATGCATTAATGTTTTGGAATGCTTGTTTATGATATGGTAAACTAATTCGTCACAGAATACATCGGTCAACTTGAGAGTGAGGTTGCTGCGAGAACCAATGAAGCTCATGAGTTACGTCTCCAGAACCGTGCCCTGTATGAGGAGAATGCTCGCCTCACCGATCTTGCACGCATGCTTCTATCCTCCCCCAATTTTTCCCAGTTTCTAGATGAGATGCCCATGAACGGGGTCCCTAACTCCGCTCAACCGCAGCCGCCTCAGCAACAACAGCAGCAGCAACTGCAGTCTCAGCCCCAGCAGCAGCCAACTATGCAGGCCAATGTACCCAAGGATACAAACCACGGTCATGGGCCCCAGGAATTCGCTATGCAACAGAATGCTCAAGTTGGTATGGTTGTTGTCCCTAACCAAGGACTCGACGTAGCTGCTATGGGCATGAACAACGCTGGCTGGAACTCCGGCATTGACATGAACTATAACCCATCAGTGTTCGCTGTTTTGGAAGTCCCCGAGCCCTCTATCATCGATACCGAAATTTTGTCCGGAAAGTCTTGCAGTGCTGGAACCTACCTTCCTGAGATTACAGACACCAAGAACGAAATGCCCGTTCTCGAGCGCCTGCCCATGTCTGAGGAGCCGAAGGAGGCCAGCTTTGGCGTTGAAAACCCAGATGTTGAGTTTGACGAATCGGATCCTGCCTTTGCTCTCTTCGCCGACTCTCCCGCTACCTCTCAACAAGAGTCGCTTGACAACTCCTTCAACGGTGTTGAATCAGAGAAATCTGCGCATGCATTCGAATTGGTGGTTGAGACTGAGTCACAAGATGCAGAGACCCGTTTCTCTTACCTCTGTCATAGCATGGATGCAGCTTTCCAGCGTGTTTCCATGGTTACCTCTCATCTCTCATGATTCCCCATGTCGCACCTAAGCAACTTCAGAATAACTTAAGAATTTGTAAAGTTTGTTATTGTCATGTTCTTCCCTTTAGGCGGTTCAGCTACCTGAACCTGCGTCCTTGTAGACACAAATACCTTTTCCTTTGTTTATGATCCTGTGACTATATATTTTGTCTTGACTTACAACTCCACTAGTTTCACTCTATTCTCTTTTCGAGTCCTTTCTATTTTGGAATCTCTTTTTTTACATTTTCCCTTTCATTGCTGGGTTTGATGGAGTCAATTTGTTCAAATCGTTCAAGGTGGGATCAGGATTACAGGCTTTTGGTGTTCGTTGTGTTTTTTTTCTTTTTTTTTTATACGGAATTGGATACCTTCTGGACTGGCTACTAGGAACCAAGTTAAGTTATTGTGAATACATCACGAAAAATTCGAAATCTACGAATAATCATCTCTCTTGAAAATTCCACATTGTTGAAGTATTACCTAGTCATGTGCGGTGCTGCAAACTGGTGTTTGTTGCCACTAGAGAAGAGAGGCTCTGAACTCCCCCAGACTCTCAACTTCACCCCAAGTCGCGGTTTTCATGTGCTATAACCCACCAACTTCACCACCTCGTCGTGTCGCTCATCCTTTGAGATGACTGTTCTTTGCATCCCTTCCTAAGTAATTTTTTCTTCCATAGCCAAGTTGGCTCCCCTTCCTCCCGCCCGCGGGCTATTATTCAAAGCCTTTCGCGGAAACGTTGCCCCATCTATAATAGGCCGCTCTCCAGTTCCTTTCAGAACTTCATTTTCTCGACCATTTTGGCATATTCCCAAAGCTGCATCTAAACCGAAGTCCATTAAGCCAAAGGGTCCGATACCAAAAAGTCCTACTTCTGCCAGTTTTGCTAGATCGAAGCCCCGAACCAAACCTCACACGTCGAAAACTATTTCTCCTACGAAACCCTTACCCACACTGAAAACCGAGCCATATCCACTCGAACGGGATACATTTATTCTCCGGGCTCCGAGGCTTATTACGCGACGTAGATCGAACAACTACTTGCTATACAACTCGACCACTCACAAGCTCTCAGGTTTCGATTTCTTGCCGACCCCACCTGTGGGACAGAAGCCCATGAAGTTCTTTTATCAGGTCGTCACGACCCCCACAGCCGATACTCCTGGCACAACTGTCCTGCTTCAGTTCCCAGAGAAGCGGTATTTCTTTGGGCAGATCTCCGAAGGAACTCAGCGGGCATGTACGGAACGGGGTGTTAAGATCGCTTACCTCACCGATGTTTTCCTCACGGGTCGCATGGAATGGGGCAACAATGGTGGATTGATTGGCGTGATTCTCACGCTGGCTGACGGTGTTGCCAGTGCGAATACTGCCCAGGAGGCTATGGCCCGTGAGAAGGAGGCGCGCCAACAAAAGTCAGGAAAGTCTGCCAAACAGTCTCCTGCGAAGAAGTTGGAGCACGGCGTGCCCTACGCCGTTAAGGATGGAGAGGCAGTTGCACAGCGGGGGACCTTGACAATCCATGGTGGTAAGAACCTGGCACATACCTTAGCCACTGCTCGGAGATTTGTCTTCAGGAAGGGTATGCCGGTCTTCACACGGGAATACGATTGTGAGGGCATGGCCAAGAAAGGGTCTGCAGAGGCAGAAGATCCTTTCGAACAACCCACTTGGTCTGATGATAACATCAAGGTATGGGCTATGCCTATTCGTCCTCTCACATCTCTGCAGCCGAAGGATGTCCCCCGTGTTGCCCCGCAAAGCCCGAGAAAGAGGAGCCTTGATGAATTCAGAGAAGAAGTTACTACTCAGGAGGCGATTGACCCGCGTACTCGCGACCAGATTATCAGGCAGTCGGTTATAACGGACATGTTCAATTCGACATGGAAATTGGATGCTTTGGTTGAGACCCCTTTGGCTGAAGTTAAGATGCCCGCGGTCATGTTTGTTCGCAATCCAGAGACCAGGGCGCTTGAGCAATACACGGGCCCTGCTCCGGGAAGCAATGAACCGCTACCTGACATCAAGGTTTTTGTACGCCAGCCTTGGCCAGGCGCAGCCGTTGAAAAAATTCCTCCCACTACCTGGTGTGATGAGGCAGTTTCTTATATCGTGCGGAATCACGATATCAGAGGCAAGTTTGATCCCAAGAAAGCGGAGGAGTTGAAGGTCCGTAAAGGCAAGGACTTCGGACGTCTGACGAAGGGCGAATGCGTGGAATCCGAGGATGGGAAAACTATCACACCTGAGATGGTTCTGGGACCCCCACGACTTGGAAAAGGTTTAGCCATTATCGACTTACCTAGCTCAGAGTACGTGGAGAGTCTCATTAGTAGGCCGGAATGGAAGTCCCCTTCTGTCACTACAAATCTTGAAGCATTTATCTGGATACTAGGCCCCGGAGTCGGAGATCATCCCCGGCTACGTGAGTTTGTCGCCAGTATGCCCCATTGCAAGCACACTGTGTCTAGCTCGGATTATTGTCCAAACTACTTGGCTATGGGCAGCATTGCTGGGTCATCTGTTCGTATGGCACAGTTGAGGAGCGACAACTACCCAGTGCCAGTCCATGATAATGTGAGTCTTCCGCAACCAGGAACACGTACTCATGGTTCGGAGGTCACGGTGAGAAATGTGCAGAATTCGCCATTTGAAGCAATTGAACCTGGCCTTATCATTGACATGGAACCCAATTTTGACATCAACCGTTCTGAGGTTGTCCCACGGTTTAATGCGATTGAGGCAGTGCAACGGATGCCTGTGGCAGTCCAGAAACGTATGAGTACAATCGATAAGCGAGTCAAAAAGGAAGAATTCGAGGAAAAGCTGCGGCAGTTCCGTAAAGATCTTCCAGGAGCCGATGCGGAAATCATCACCTTGGGTACAGGTTCTTCTTCTCCTTCCAAATACCGCAATGTTTCCAGCACCCTCGTTCATGTTCCTGGTTACGGTTACTATCTGCTTGACTGCGGTGAGAACACGCTTGGTCAGCTAAAGCGCGTTTTCGAGCCCGAAAAGTTGCGAGAGGTTCTACAGAACCTGCGAATGATATGGATTAGCCATTTGCATGCAGACCACCATCTCGGTACTGCTTCTGTCATCAAGGCGTGGTTCCAGGAGAATTATCCGAATGGAGATTCGCAAACAAGCGCTCTTGAGACCGACATGTCCAAGATACTCAAGGAAAAGCGGTTGTTCCTCGTCTCTGAAGAAAACATGATCTGGTGGCTAGAAGAGTACGCAAGCGCTGAAAACTTTGGCTTTGGGAAATTAATTCCCTTGTCCGCCTATCCTGTGATCCAGAACAGGGCACTCCGGACCAAGTTTGTGTACCGACACTGCCGCGCGGACGGCTCATTCCCTGGCCAGGAAGTTGAAACTTATAGTCCCCGGAGTACAGAGCTCAGCTTTGACGACGAGTCATCTCCGCTCACGCCACTTCTGCGCGAAGCCACAGGTCTTGCCGATCTCTTAACCACAAAGGTGTCTCATTGCCGTGGCGCTATGGCAGTCTCACTTGTCTTCCCGAACGGCTTCAAGCTCTCCTTCTCGGGCGACTGCCGACCTTCCCCCAGCTTCGCCGCAATCGGACACGGCTCCACCGTCCTTATCCATGAAGCCACCTTCCAGGATGACATGGGAGTATCTGCGATCGCCAAGAAACACTCTACGACATCCGAAGCCCTAGAAGTTGGCCGCAGAATGGAAGCTCGCGCCATCCTCCTCACCCACTTCAGCCAACGGTACCAGAAGGTCGCGCACGTAGAAAAGAACCAAGGGCCCACCAAACGCCAAGAGACAGTTGTCCAGCCCGAACAACCGGACATTCCAGACAACGAACCGGAAGAGGCCTCCCAAGCGCCAGCCTCCAATGGGTACGTTCCATCCTTCTTCAGCACTATCAAGGTAGAGGGAAAGCCGCAGGTCAAGGTCCCCATAGTCGCCGCTTTTGACTACATGCGCATCCGTGTTGGCGATATGCCCGTCGCGCAGGCGTACGCGCCGGCAGTGGAGAAGCTCTACGACATCCTGGAGCGGGTTTCGGAAGAGGACTCCGAGAAGCAGCGCCAGCAGAAGGAGAAACAGGAGGCTGCCAAAATGCAGGAGAAGATGAGAAGAAAGGCCAAGCATGACAAGAAGTCAAAGGCTGGTGCTAGCCTGGCCGATGTGGAACCTACAGCTGCTATCCCTGCCGAAGAAATGGACCTTGACAAGAAGTCTCCGGTTAAGCGTCACTCGGCCTGGAGTGCCAGTGAAAGTGAAAGCGGCTGGAGCACCAGTGGCAGTGATGAAGAAGCTGAGATGCGTGCAAGGCGCAACGGCCGCAGTCCCAGTAGGACTCTGAAGCGTTCGAGCTAAGACATAAAGCAAGATACACTTATCATTACATACCCTGTATCATATATATATCTGGCGTGCTTTCGGGAGGTACATAAGTAGTATATGGAGGTAAAAGTTTTGGTCAATGGACAAGTGTCGTGTCCTGTTCGGGTACATACATTATTATTATTCAGCTGAGACATAATACAAACCGAATAAAGGCCTCTGTATTCTAGTCTCTGATAGAATCACGTGTGTAATTCTGCGTTTTCCTGTTTCTCATTCCAAAAGAATATATGGCTAGAGTAAATACAATCACAGTATACATTGACATGTATATATACTTTTGTCGCCCCCTAGAACCCAGAAACTGCTTTCTCCTTGTCATCCTTACCATAAAGCCCTGCTCCAATGTTCTCTGTGCACTCCTCCCGCCAGTTCTTGGGCGTGAATTTATCAACAATCTCCTTAAATGCGTCTAATGTGCAGAAGGTATCGTCTCCGGCAAGATGATTTTGCGGCTTGGCAGCGCAACCGGGGATACGGACTGGAACGTCGTTATAACGGATACGGACATAATGTTTCTGCAGGGATTGTCTTGCGGAGTTGGGGAAGGACGCGAGGGGAGCACGAGCTGTCTCAGACGGAGGGGGCGGTGTTGAGTTGTTCGAGTTCGAAGAGCCCTTCATGAAGGAGAAGAGACCTCCGCTCTTCTTCTGGGCGATGGCAGGATTTGAGAATTCTTCGAGCACGACGCCGGCATCTTCACTGCCGGATTTACGGTCCGCCTTTGAGAAGAGCTCGATAGCAATGGAGGAGGTGAAAGGTGGCCACCTGCCGGGGGAGGCGCCCACACTACCCAGGATGGCTGCCAGAGTGGTATCGTGGCATCCGCTCATGGCGAACTTGATCGCTTTGCCATTGTCAGTGGAGGACCCAGATGCTGAGGCTTCGCTGCGCCAGCCGCCGTCGACGGCTGTGCTGACCATGCGGTCGACCACATCGCCTAGTAGAGCTCCGATTCCGAGTTTTCGGTATTCGGTGCTCTCGTTGTAACCGGCGAACCATTCGTCAACGGCGATTTGCTCCATGTACTGTCTGAGTTTCTTGTCGTAAAATTCTGAAGGAAGACGTGTTGCGGGCCCGTAGGCGTCGGTTGCATTGATGGTGTCATTGATTCCGGAGAGACGGGGGTGAGAGTCGACGGCAACTTTAGGAGACTTCTCTGGCATCCATTTGGATAGGATGCTGTTGATGTAATCCATCTGTTCGGTTTCGTTCCCTGGGCAGATATGTTAATCAGCTTATGATATCCTTTGTGTTCCTCTACTCCACGTACACCGTAACGCTGCCCTATCGGCAAAGAGCCTAGCGAGTTGTCTGAACCGACGGCAGTTGCCTTCATTAGGGAATAGAGTCTCTTCCGACACAGAGCGTGCAACAATCACTGGCGGAGGAAAATCTTGCGTACGAGCACTGGCCGGGTACATGCCCCAGAAAGCCTGCTGGAGGGACTCGAGGGCTCGCGGGATGGGTGTGGCTCGGAGGTACATGTCCTCAGTGTCGGACTTGATCTTGGGCATGAACCCAAGTTGGTCAACATAAAGATGCCTCAGGCGCTGGCCGAGGGCAAAGGTTGTTTCCCGTCCCCTGTCTGTCAATTCGCCGTGTTGGCTATTGTCGCGAGTTACTCGTCAGTAACCTCGCACTCACCAATTGTCCCGTATATCCCATGGCGACTTACCAAATGCCTTCGATATCACCTGTTGCGCCCACTGCAACCACCGACTCATCTCTATCGCCGAATGCTTCCGTCTTTTTCCGCCATTCAAAGCCCTTCCACTGTGAGAGGTCCTGGTTACTAGCGGCCATTTGGATCATCCGACGTGCAACATTGCAGTACGGCCAGTCTTCGAGGGTAAAATAATCGGTCAGTCTGCGAAGATATAGAAGCAACCGAGTGTGGTTGAGGATATTTACATTCAGCTAGGCCTGCCTTCATGGATTTAGTAGTCATGTCACATTATCAGTTGGAAGTATGTGGTTAGCTTCATACATTTTGAAACCGAGAAGACACCGGCGTGCGTTCACCTGAAGCCAGTCAGTCAATTGATCAAGTGCTTTAGCCATTGGATCACCGCCGAACCACCTCACCATGGCGAAGGAACTATAGAAGGGTTAGTACAAGTTCAATGGAACTCTAACCCGGTTGTCTCGTCTGGTACGTACCACCTGGACCAATTGGAGCTTCAAGTCTCTCGGATAGAGCTTCTCGAGCTCCTCCTGGGAGTAGGGTTCGCGGGGATTTAAAGAGGTCATCGGGAACTGGTATAAGTGCGCAACGAACGACCTTGAATCAAGCCGATTGCTACTCAGGGTAGGACGAAAGTCGGTGACTCGGCGGATTGTCCGTTGATGACGCCAGAAGGCGGTGGGCGGTAACCACGGCCCAATCAGCGGAGATGCCGGAGTCACCTGTTGGCAGCGGATTTTCTTATCCACGTGCAGATCAGCTGGTCTATCAAGTGATGAAGAAGAACCCTAGACGTTGCGCTCTAGATAGGATTAAAGTGCGTCAATCGAGGTGGTTAGCTGGTGGTGGTGCTCTTATTATGCCTTGCCTTTGATCCAAGGTAGATGATAAGCAACCTTACCCCGCTCATTGTTCAATATTCAAGCAATGATGTTCTCCTTTCAGTTCTAGTTTGATTTTAGGGACTTGCCATGGAAATTGTCATCTCTTAGACAGATCTCTATTGTATGATCCAGTGTTTTATGTTGAGGATTCTACTGATATATAACTCACTTCAGTGATATGCTATTATGCACTAGTATATATATTGAACTCCACTGAACAGCTGTCGGCGATCATCATTCTCACTGACATTCTAACGGTGCTACTCCACTTGCTTTAGCTGAAGATAATGTGATTAATGCATATGGTAGACAACCTAAGCCCAAGAGCTCCACTAATATATAGGACTTATCTATGTGTACAGTTCAACTAGAACGCAACTACCGAAAGGAGGGTTGTGAACAAGTACGACATCGACCAGGCACAAAGGCGGAAGGATCCACTGACCAATCGTGCCAAGACTCGGACAGTCGGTCTTATCGCAAGAAACGCACTGCGAGCATCTTCCCCAACCTCCAACTTCCGGAGCTTTCGCCGTTGACTCACATAGATAATCTCTCCTGGATAGGACGTTAGCTCTACAGTTTACCTAGTGTGCTGTCAGTCTGCGGCATTTGTTCAGGAGCTTCCGGCCAGTCTAAAAGCACCCCCACGTCGGCAGGAGTTTCCGCATTCCCCTTGCCCTGCCAATCAAACCCATACATATACTGGTAGTAGTACTATACCTCCAACTGCCTGTGTATGCTCGAAGCTCGAGCATTTGCGCGTTGTTCTCGCGACTCTATCTTCCTTGGCTCGACTATACTACTGTTAACCATGAGTTATAAGATCTACTGAACAGCAGTTCTCTAGCTCTGGTCCTGCCATTCCACACACGCAATCCACCCAAGTAACCTGTCTTGAAATAAATGTTTCTTCTCTTTCCCCTGACCAGCTCTCTGAATACCAAATCTGCACAGTAGCCTGTGAAATTTGCATGCTTTTCTTTGTTGCTGGGCATTAAAGTGTGGTGCGTCCTTCGTGGTGGCTGGTTAATTCACTGCGAATCTTGAAACAACAGCACTGTAAGTCCCCATTCGACTTGTATGTCGTTGCCTTCCAGATCAAACCTCTCCTGTTCTATCACCCTGCGTCGGTCTATGCTAACTGACTTGCCAAGAAAACTCTTCCTTTATCTGGTTACTTGATTAGTATTTGACAAACAAATAGTTGACTATATGGAGGTAAGAGATGCAGTTTCTTTGCTATTCCCTGTTCCGTGGAATCTTTTTTTATATATCATCTCCTGGACCTCTTGTATGGTTCTGCCTTGTGCTATTGTCTGTAGGGGCGAAGCTGTGTTATTGCTTCTTACATCCCAAGTACCACTTTTCAGCAGGGTTTTCGGTGACTTCTAGCTTGCAGTGCCCCAGTCCACTCAACTGTGGCTACATGGACTAGTCTTGAAAATGCCTGCACAAGATATGAGAAACCTGGAGGACTACTATGAGTGAGCTTTGGGTTGCTAACAAGTTATCTAGCCGGCAGGACATACCGCGCAGGCGAAGCCGGGGCAGGTTTCCACCGGCAAGCCTCAAGATGCCAAACCCCGTCTGTTATTGATGGGCCTCCGCCGGTAAAGTTAGCTCCTTTCGGGCATGATCGGGGTTTTATTGACCATAGATAGGAGCGGGAAATCCTCGATTGCTAGTGTCGTTTTCCACAAGATGCCTCCTAACGAAACGCTCTTTCTGGAGTCAACGACTCGCATCCAAAAGGATTCCATCCAGTAAGTACATCCTTCTTACATGATACGAGCATCCACGCTTACAATATACCAAAGCTCGTTCATGGACTTCCAGGTTTGGGATTTTCCTGGTCAGCTTGAGTATCTGGAGCCATCTTTCGATCTCGAAGACATTTTCGGAAGCCTTGGTGCGCTCGTCTGGGTCATTGATGCGCAGGATGATTACCTGGACTCGGTCGCGCGCCTGAACCGCACCATCCTGACTGTCCAGCAGTATTACCCTAACATCAACATCGAAGTCTTCATTCACAAGGTTGATGGACTCTCGGAAGAGTACCGCACCGATACATTCCAGGATATTGTACAGCTCATTTCGGATGAACTTAGCGATGCTGGGTATGAGAATGCCCCTGTCCACTACTACCTCACGTCTATCTATGATTACTCTGTCTTTGAGGCATTCAGTAAGGTTATCCAGAAGTTGATTCCAAACCTATCGACTCTGGAGAACCTAATCAACACCCTCGGCAACAATTGTGGATTTGAGAAGACCTATTTGTTTGACGTTCTCAGCAAAATCTACATTGCTTCAGATACTCGCCCAGTGGATATGTCCTGCTATGAGATGTGCTCGGACTATATCGATGTGATTGTGGACGTCTCAGAACTCTACTCATGGGATCATCCGGACCGCAAGCCAAAAGGCGAGCAAAATCAAGAGGCAGAGAGCCATGTGGTTCTGCACGACGAGACCATGATCCATTTGATGGAAATGAACAAGTATGTCTCGATGTTGCTTTTTCCCAGGTAGGAGAAGCTCGCTGACTCTTGCTAGATATCTTTGTCTCGTGTCCGTTATACGCAATCCTGAGGCGAAGGAGAAGAAGGGGTTGATTGATATGAATTGCCGTACTTTCCAGGAGGCCCTCAATGATGTCTTTTCTCGCAGCTGGGAACAGGATCAGGAAGGGTCCGAACAGGGCCAGGCACAGGGGCAGGTGACAGAGCATGGCGAGCCAGGTTCGAATAACTGATATCAAAAGTGTTACTTCTATGGCGTTGGAACATCTACGGAATACTAGTAGTCCACTATTTGCCCAGTTTAGCACTTTGAGAAGCGTGTCTTACGCACAATACCATTTCCTGTGCCTTGTCTGACTTGTAATACTGGGAGACACTTTACTGTGCGAGTAATTGCCTCGTGAATAAAAGCCCTCACTAGATAAAACACCTATTATGCGTCCGTTGTACTGCAAGAGATAGATTAGTTTTCGCCTCCCCTTTACTGGTGGTGGTCACCCTTAACGGACGCAAACTAGCAAGGTAGTTAAGGCACCAAGGTATCAAGAAGCGGGCCCACGCTTGGCACTAGCGCGAATTTTTTCTTTTTTCTTGAAGGATAAAACGAGCTCCTCTCCATTTCTTTTTTTTATCTTTCTCTCTTTCTTCAACTCAACCATACACTCATGAGTTGGCCACAAGGTCACTCACTCAAGCATGATGAAGCTTGAATGCAACATACTAACATAAAACCTCAGCAAACAACCTCGGATTCACTAATACAATGGTAAGTCCAAGCAATTTTGTTATTCCCAACATTACACATCAATTCGATTCCCCCCTTCTCGATGATGAAAATTTTTCCCACATTCGCAGTTTCCACGCTAGCCGTCGCTAGAACCCAATCTAGACGTGCTCTGTGCGCAATACTTCCTTGGATGTCTGAGAGATTCTATCATACAGCTTGCTGTTTTTCTATTCATATGCATGCTTGGGACTGTGACTGACATGCATTTAGGATTTCTAGGTTCTTGCTCTACTTGAATATATATGGGGGTTGGGATTACTGGGTTGAAGAGCTTGGTGTTACGAACTGCTGGTACACTGCTGGCCAGTGTTGCCGTGGAAGAGTTTTGCTGGAGCTTGGGATATTTGTTCCTAGACTCTTAGCTTAGGACATGCTTCAGATATAGTGCTTGAAAAATATTTTGAAATGAATAAAATCATCTGGGGCACTACATAATCTTTCACTCGTAAACCTGTAGCTTCACCAAATATGGAATCGCGGTAGATTTTCCATTACCACATGAACCTCCAGTTCAAAATGATCATCAGAAGTCGAATCATCCACTGAAATTATTTTCCAAACCCTGATAGACTAATATAGCATACAGAACAAGTGTCACGTTGTTATCTCACCACCCGAAACAGAAGCGGAGAATCAACGGAAATTACCCTTTCCTCGACAGGACTACACTCCTCACTCATAAACTCCCCAAACCCAACCTAACCGCAACTTCCATGACACCTTAACCTAAACCAAAGTAAGCTCTACACTACGAAAAAGTGAAAAGGCGACCATGTCCTCCCTCCGCCAGCGACAGGTCCCCGCCGGCGCCGGCGCCAACGAACCATCTACATCCAAACCGACCACCCAAAAGAGCAAATCTCGCAATGAGAAAAACGGCCTTAGTGTCCTTGATATTATCCGTGTGGTGGTCACACTGATCGTCGCATCATGCGGCTTATCTTACTACATGACGTCGACGGAGTCCGTGCTATGGGGCTACAGGCCGTGGTTCACTAGATGGCCGGTGTTGGTCCGGTACTTGGTATGTTTTGGCATCACTTGCTTCCCATAACTGCATTCGAATCAATTCCTGGGAGTTTTTGTTGGTGAGATGGGCCGGGTTAGGCTAATGAATCACAAACAGCAAGGACCTCTGAGCCTCACGCCCGAGCAACTCGCCCTCTACAACGGGTCCGACTCGACCCTCCCCATCTACCTCGCCATCAATGGCTCCGTGTTCGATGTCTCCGCGAACCCGCTCGTGTACGGAGCGGGCGGACACTACAATTTCTTCACGGGGAAGGATGCCACGCGCGCGTTCGTCACGGGCTGTTTCCAGGAGGACCAGACGCATGATCTGCGGGGGGTTGAGGAGATGTTCATGCCGGTTGATGAGGAGGCGGAGTTGAAGACGCTGAGCAGTGGGGAGAAGAAGATCCGGCGGGAACAGGATCGGCGGCTTGCCCGGACGAGTGTGCAGAAGCAGGTGCAGCACTGGGAGAATTTCTTCCGGAATCATAAGAAGTACTTCGAGGTTGGGAAGGTTGTTGGGTTGGAGGTGCCGGAGGAGCAGAGGGAGCTTTGTCAGTCTGCTAAGCAGCAGAGACCTAAGAGGAGCAGTTTGAAGAAGGGTAATTAAGGGAAATTTGAGGGAGTTTGATTGATGGATTTGTATGTATATATCTGGGCGTGCTTTTCATTTGTCGATCATCGCATGTGCTACGTAGGGTACTCTGCTCTTCTTATCTGTCGGCTTTTTTACTTGTTGTTCCCCGCATGCGTTTCTTAAACTGTAGATGGTTGCGGTTGTTTGCGAGGGTCGTTGGTCGATTCTATCAAGACATTTACGTGATACGTGCAGTAGCGGAAAACAAGAGTTCACTCCGAAATTGATTGATTCATTGAACCACTATACATCATTCGCCCAGCCAAGCTTCCGAATTTTGAGAGATATCATTCGTAAAATATGAGAGGACCGCGAGAAAAGACTAGTGAGGAAACGTTTACTCAGCGGTAACGGCACGGGCTAAATCACCTGTTAGTATATGCGCCAAAGAGTCGATATCCAGCAATTCACGGCGAAGACGTACTGTAGATGTTCAACTTGGAGTGGCCGACAACCTTCTTGATCTGGCCCTTCTCCTCGAGGTCCTCAAGAGCCTTACGGGCGAGGGAGCCGTTGATCTTAAGACGGTCGACAAGGGTGGCGACGGTGATGAGACGGTAGGACTGGACGTCCTTGTTGAGACGCTCAGCGACCTGCTTCTCGAGGACAACGGCGTGCTGGGCCTTGTCCTTGACTGTTTGCAGAGAAAAAAACCATGTCAGTTATTATTGTTCCACAAGCCGGCTTTCAATATCGTCGATTCATGTCCAAACAGCCCCTCTGCCCACAACAAAATCGCTTGACATCTTGATCGGGAAAAGGTTCGTTCGCTGGGAGGATGGATGTGAGACGGTGATTTGCATACCCTTGCCCTTGGACCACTTCTTGCGTGCGGGAGCCTATATATAAAATATTAGTACAACCTGGACATCCTGCTGTTCGTCTCTATGTGCGGCATCAACTCACCATCTTGACTGTCTGATCTGGTTGTTCGACGACGGATGAGAGCGCGACAATCAACGGCCGGAAGTGAGAAGCCCAAGTGCGAAATTCGAGTGGGGAGACCTTTGGCGTCACGTGGGCATAAACCCTAAGCCCTTGTTTGCTCGGTTAGCGGTGGTGGAAGAAGAGGCCTTTTATTGGTCAACGTTATCTATATATATGCCTCAGGCATAAATATGTAGAATCAGTGACTACACGGAGATGAGATCTATTGTCATGGATACAAGCATGAGTTTCCAATTTATTGGAGGTTACTAAGACCAGGATCGCTTGGTATTGCGTAAATCATAAATGTTCCTTCAGTTATCGGCTCATGCCTGCGCCGTGGCTTCCAGTAGAAGCTTTACCCTTGATAGTATTTAGTACTTTGAACTGTGAATCTTCACCTTCGCTCTCGATATGACCAAGGGTGTAGTCTTCAGTCGTTCCAAACCAGAATTTTGAGTCATCGCTTTGATTGGATGATAGCCATCTCACATCGTATCGCCCGCTGTCGCTTCGCGAAGTAGGAATGTGAATGATTGATGGCTGGCCGTCCGGGGTCCACGATCGAACAGCAGCAAGGGCATTGTTGGCAGTGATGATAAGTAGCTGTATCTTCGAGGGATGCCATGCAGCCTGTCTGACTGGATGTTCGTGAACCAAGGCTGAGACAAGTACGGCAGTGGACTCCAAGTTCCATATCCAAACAATGTTTGCCCGTGTTTGGTCTACAGTGGCTAGGAGATTTCCGTTGCAACTGAATGCCATGATTGATACGCCCCGCGGTGGGCCGGATGTTTCCGCAGTTATACTAAAGGCAGAAGAACTGGACGACTCGGCATATTCGAGGGTGCCATCTGCAGTTGCGTAGCGCTCACGCCATATACTGGGCGAATTGTCGTCGATTAGGAAGACATGGGATAATGTTGTCGAACATGAGAACTGCATTTATCAGTTATCTAACTTGCCCAATATAAAAGAGCACCAATTTAGAATCGAATATACGTACTGTTTTGCATCGTAAGATATCAACAGTTCCATCGACCTTACTGATGGCTAGATATTCCGAGGCGCCACTCTCCTTTGCAACCGGACTCCATTCTAGACCTCGGACCCCAAGGTCAAAAGAATCATCGAATCCCGGTGGCCCGGTATAAGTCCTGAAGAGCTGTCCGTCGGCAGTGAATACAAGAACTTTGGTGCCCGCACTGGCAGCATCCCAGACGGCTACCCATCTCCCGTCGGGGCTCCATTTCAAGCCTTGAGCGTCTACTGTCGGTAGAACCGCACGGTTTATTAGCTCATATGATCTGAATCCATGGATAGTCAATAAGTCCACTGCGTCTGGTTTTAATAAAATTGCAAACTGTCCTGTCTTAGGTCGGTACCCGAAGCCATTGTGATGAGCAAATTTCGGAGATTTAATCACCTGGCTGCGGCCGGTATCCAGAGCATACACAGTTAACCTTGTATTCCATGCATGGAAAACTATGACCTCGTTTTCATCGCTACCAAAATCAATGTTCAAGGCACCAGGCTCGATACTCTCGATTTCAGCATGTAATTGCAGCGGGAGCAATTGCCATACCAGAATGCGTGTATCACTGGCATGGAGCAAACGTCGCCCTGGTGCAATCTCGCCTCTAGCGGCATATGTATCTGGTGATATGGTGGAGCTCGCTCGTGAGAATTTCAAGAATTTTGACGAGCTTTCTTTGACTTTGACAATCTCTACATCCTGGAACCCAGAAGAAGCCGGGTTGAGATGCAGGATGAGATCTTTCGCACTTATCTGAGCAACATGTTCCCCATGTTCAGATAGAGATATAGAAGGTGAGACTGGGCTTCAATCAATGTTTGTCTATTTTGTTGGAAATTTGGTTAACATACCCCCTGTTCCGGTGGAGTCCATTGTTGGTCTTGCCTTGGAAGCGGCGCTAGTAGTTCAGTGATTTCATCCGTTGAGACAGCTGTGAATGTGGTCGATGGTACCAGCGTTTCTAACAGTGTGCATTATATTTAGCTGTACACATGATCGTGCTAGCTTCAAGGAAAGTATTCCTAGAGATTTGCAGTCTTGTACGGTCTCCATTCATTGGGCATGATACACTAGTAATTTCCACTTATGGACGCCAAGCCTTTTGTATATATATTACATAATCACAATCTCAATGAGCTACAAAAGAATTCTATCTTGGACATGGAGTGATGAGCATAGACCGAAGAATACTCTCCCTAATTCGGAATTATGCATCCAGATTACAATCACTATGCTAGGACTCTGACCTGCTGGCCGTGTGTTATGCCCAAGTTTGACACTACAGCTTTCTGCTGTTTGGATAAGATAAGGCGGACCAAAGTTGCTCCGGTCCGAGATAAATCGCCATCAAAAAAAAGTTGCCCGCAATGCGAACAATCCGGGGAATAATTTCAAGCTGATAACCTTCTCACCGTTGTTCACCTCCTCTCTATCCACAACCATAGGGTTCTTGCGCTTTCTTGCCCCGTGGCTGGGGCGACAAATTCCCAAAGCACAACTCTCAAGTCTCATAAAAATGACAATACCCGAGACACAATCAGTGTCGCAAAGCAACGGCGAAACGCAAAATGCGCCCGCCAATGCCAGCACAACACCGAAGACGAAACTTTTAGGGAGGGAATTCTACAAGAGTATAGGGAGTCCAAAGTATATCGTGGCACCCATGGTGGATCGATCTGAATTTGTATTATCTCCCACATTCTGTTACCTAGTACTCTCCGATCTAACTGTTGATGCCAGGCCTGGCGCATGCTTACTCGGTCGTTCATGCTATCCGATGATCCCAAGCCTATGCTTGCGTACTCGCCGATGTACCATGCACGTTTGTTCCGTGAACAGTCGCAAATGCGTTTGCAACATTTCCACCCTACTCGCGCTGCTATCAAAGGCGATGATACCCCATATCTGGACGGAAACCCTGCGATAGACCGGCCTCTGTTTGTACAGTTCTGCGCGAATAACCCAGATGACTTTTTGGAGGCTGCGCGTCACGTAGCGCCATACTGTGACGCTGTGGACTTGAACCTTGGGTGTCCACAGGGAATCGCCAGAAGGGGTCATTACGGTGCCTTCCTCCAGGAGGATTGGGATTTGATTTATAAACTGATCAATAAGCTACATACTGAACTGGATGTTCCTGTCACCGCGAAGTTCCGTATACAGGAGACGAAAGAGAAGACATTAGAGTACGCAAAGATGATACTATCCGCCGGTGCGAGCATAATTACCCTCCATGGACGCACGAGAGAGCAGAAGGGTCATAACACGGGTGTGGCGGATTGGAGTTATATTCGTTACCTTCGTGACAATTTACCCCCGGAGACCGTTATTTTCGCCAATGGCAACATTCTGAACTATGAAGATCTGGAGCGCTGCTTGGAAGAGACAGGTGCTGATGGCGTGATGAGCGCTGAAGGAAACCTGTCTGACCCATCCATCTTCAGTAAACCTCCCCCAGTAGGAAGTGAAGGAAGAGAATACTGGCGTGGCCGGGATGGAAAAGGTGGATACCGGATCGACGCTATTTTCCGCCGCTATCTCGATATTATTTATAATTATGTCCTTGAACAACCGATTCCTGAGAGGAAGCCTCTCTACCTCCCGTCAGACCCAGAGGAGCCGGAGCAATTCATAGAACCCGCTGCCGAGGAAGCCGAGGAGGAAGGACCACCGAAGAAGAGGCAGAAACGCGACAAAACAAAGAGACCTACGTCGCCTAGTCTTGGGGTCATGCAGGGCCACCTGTTCCAGCTTCTGCGCCCAATGGTTGCAAAACACACAAATGTTCGGGATGCACTTGCACGGTCAAGACCGGGCGACATGGCTGCCTTCGAGCATACTCTTGCCCTTACCGAGAAAGCAATCAAAGAAGGCCTTAAGGAATATGAACAATTCCCAGAGCGCTTTGAGACATCCGCGAATCAAGAGCTAACGGGCTCCAAGGCGACGATTGCTGAATACGGTAGGCCTTGGTGGATCTGCCAACCGCACATCCGGCCGTTGCCCGAAGAAGCCCTAGAGAATGGTGCGCTCACGGAGAAGGGGAAGAAGCCCAACACGAAGCAAGACAAGCCTAAGTCTGAAGCATCTGCAGATAAAGCTGATACTCCGGCTGCAGAGGCCACCGCTTCTGAAACCCCAACCAACACGGCTACAACACCGGACGCCTTGGTAAGCGGTTAAGATGTTGCGACATTTGTTATCTTGAACCACCTCGACAAAGCATCCTATTTAATTGAAGCGCATAAACTATAGACAACCCACCCACTCACTACAAAAGACATAATACCCACGACATTGCACGGTATATAGAATTAGATCTTTAAGCATAGCACTGCGAATCCAAATATCAATTCATAACATCATGGTATCTAAAATCAAAACCCTCAACCCAACCCAACCGCAAACACCAAACCCATGGATATATAACCAAACCGTCTAAAAATCCAAAACAAGCTGCGGCGCCATCTTCTCCAAATCCTCGACCTAAAGTCACCACCCAAGTCAGTAAAAACCTCCCCAACAACCACACCAAAGAAGAACAAACGGAAAAAAGAAAGAAAGAGAAGAACAAACCTCAAGGAACCCATCCCCAACCCCCCTCTCAACGCCCTTCGCTCCCTCCGCCCTCTCAAACGCAGCTCTCGCCAACGCCTCCCTCACAAAGACATCCACATACTTTGCCACAACCTCATTAGCATCCTTCGCGATCTTCGTCTTCTGACCCTTAAAATGATGATGAACGAGCTTCGTCAGCAACTTCGGCGGAATAGCCGGCTCGCTCGAGAGAACATCATTCTCATCGGCATCAGCATGGGTAATTTCCGCAAGGATGTAATCTGGTTCTTCAGAGGGAGAGCGCGAACGACTGGACCCGGAGCTAGCTTCGGAGTCTGAGTTTGAGGCCGCCGCGGGGGATTCTGAGGCCTCTACCTCGTCGCGTGTGGATGTTGTAGAGGGCCGAGCGGTCTTGGATGATGAGGCTTTTGCATTAGTGGTGGGTTTTACAGAGACTTTGGATTTGGATTTGGGCTTGGGCTTCGGGTTTGGGTTGGAGGTTGATGCTGATGCGGATGCGGATGTTGAGGGGCCGGCTGTTGCTGAGGATTGTCGGCTGGGGGGTTTGAAGGGGAGTTGTCTTCTTTTTTGGGCAGGTTGGCGTTCTGGGGGCATGGTGAGGGTTTGCAATGGTTATGCTTGTTTTTCGTTTCAGCGTTGTTGGTGGTGGTGGGGGAGTGGTTGTTATCGCCTTGATTTCCGGATGCGATGACGCGCTGCGTGACGCGAAGTCAGGTGATCTGTTGATATCTATGGGCTTATTTGTGAAATTGTTTATATTCAACTTTTCATATTGAGGGAGTTTATGAAACTATACTTTACTAAAGTAATATTTAAGACATTAGCGTTCTGCTAATTGGATATGAAGTAAAATAAACCGCATCTGTTGTCCACCATGTTCATGCATATAGCAAACACCAAGGAAGACACTGCCTAAAGAAAGATACACCCCCGAATCAATCACTCATCCTCATCCTCAGGCCGCACAACAGTAAAATCCATACCCGAATCCTCCAAAACGCTCCTCGAAAGCTCCCACTTAACACCAAACAGCCCCGAATTAAACCGACACGACCAAAGCTCCCCAATGCCCGACTCTTCAGCTCGAAGCCCATCAATCTGCCTCACCATGTCCGCGACAGCAAGCTCAGTATTCTGAATAATGACATCAGGAGAACTAACCCTCTTCCCGAAATTGCGCGACGTGAACAAGCAGATGATCCAGTGTTTCTTGGCTTTGCCTTTGTAGTCTTTTTCCTGAGGGGGGATAATGAGAGCTGTGCCTTCTGGTAATCGGATATTTCTGTTTCTGGTAGATGATTGAATATTGTCGGGCTGGTCTGGTGAATCCGAAGTTACTAGGTACTCTGGACTGAATTTGTACTTCTGGCAATGTGAGTGGTAGATGTTGTATGCGGCCGGATACTGTGTTTATTAATTCATGGTTGATTGATTGATGAGTGGGCGATATAGTATGTACCTTTTCCTTGAAGGCTTTTGCAATCCCACCACCCCAGGACCCGATACAGTTGCATGCGTCTGAGATAATTAAGTTAGTTGCAAGGACAAATTAATTCCCTAGGTCACGTACGAATCAGGGCTGCTCCATCTGGCGCGTCGAAGAGATCGCCTTGCGTCTCACTTATGCTGCCGTAGGTTGCCTTGGAAGCCATGGTGAGGTATTCCTATATTTCTTTCACAATCGGCTTGTTGTGTTGAGAACCCCAAGTATAGCGAGACTTTCAAGATTTGAGATAATTAACAAGTGAGTCACAAGAGGAAGTTGCATTGCACGGCTCGTATTTGTCGATGACTACGGAGTGGTAGTTCGGGAAGTACGGATGATGTTAAACACAATTGGGCAATGGCCTCATAGCGTGTTAAAAGATATCCTGAACTGATTTCGGTGTACACAATTAACTACAGCCGATACCTGCTAATGGCTTCTCAATGTTTCTGAGCCAGCCGGACCAATTAAAAGAAAAGACAAATTGCGCTATGCCATACAACAAAAGACACGATAAAACTTATACAGAAAGTAGGGAGCAAAAGGTCCATCATTACCGCTTGTCAACTGCTCCTCCAGTAGGATTCTGCACGCGACGAGAAAGGAAGTGTCGCAGACTCTTAGACCCTGTAATGTTGCCTTGGCTTGACGCTTCTATTTCTCGAGAGCCCGCACTGTGCAAAGAATCATTTCCTCTCGCCGATATTGACATTTGAGTATCAGTCTCAGGGCCCCATGAAGAGGTTGTTGCCTCAGAACGAGGCGCGCTCTGGGTGCTGCTTGATTTCAGCCTTCTACTCAAGCCCCGTGAGATGTTTCGAAGGATACCGGGGTCATCATCATCAGTCCGGCGTTCATAGCGTGCGATCTCGCCCATGTAAGTTACACCATTTGTCCCAAAGTTCTCTTCAGGAACTGGAAGATAAAGGACTACGCCGCGATTGGGATCAATCTGTAGAAGCTCCCTCAGAGCTGACTGGATCATGCGGGTGCAGCGAAGGTTGGTGATAGAGGCTATGAGGCATGGGAGTGCGTAGACCTTCAACAAATACGCTGGGTCCTTCCAGATACCAAAGAGAATACATACATCCTGCTGTATGGTGACCATCATAGACGATTCCTCTTTCTGATAGATTTGTGCCAGGCGAGACGAGATCACCGCAGCAAGGGCTTTATCGTCTGTAACCTGGACATACTATTAGTTCCTAGAGGCTTTCGAGCTCCGGATGGAATGTAGCACATCCTCACCGTCTTGCTTAGTTTAAGCTCAGCCACAATAACTGATTTCTGACTCAGTCGATCCCTAAGTGACAGTTCTCGCCCACGTGTGCTGAAAAAGTCGTCGAAGTACTGGCTCTTTGCCCGACGCATTGGTTCCTCCTCAACGCTTTTACGTATCACATCGATAGACTTCGGGTCAGCAGGTGTGCCATGATTTGATTTTGGAACCATCGAATCATCGTCATCTGTCTCCTCAATGAACATGGAAGGCCTAGCTGGCGGTCTATCGAGCTTGTTTCGCTGCGCCATCATCGTGTCGGAGACGGCTCTGACTGCCAAAGCCTGGAATGACACAGGTGATTCAAGGGTGGGAACTGTTGGTGAAAGGCTCGCGGAGGATGTTGCAGAAGGGTCATGTCGCCGTCTCAGGAGAGATAAGTCCAATTTATGTTGTCCCGCAACCATATTTTTCTTTTTTCTGTTTGAGATATGCCGGCTCAAGCTTATGGCGACAATTCTTTAGCTATAGCTAAGTGCCTGTAACTAGAGCGCCACAAGCGAGTTGTTGAATGTAGAACAAAGTAGACGAAACAAAAGAATGAGAGAGAAAGACAGAGAATTGCCGGAGTCGTCCGGCACTTCCCTTCTCCTTCCCTGGCTGACATTGTCAAGATGTGCGACTCTTCACAGCAATAGGAAGGCACTACTTTCCATGTGGGACGAGAGTGTACTTCCACAAGTGATCATGTTGACTGTAACTCCAGGATACTAAGAACTGTAGATAATCGAGAAAGATCGTGCATCAAATATCTCTGCCTCGAGCCTCATCTAATTCGCATTTGACCTGAAGTGTGCGATGGTGAGGATTAAACTCCTTGTTGCTGGAGTCTTTCTTTCACGAATCAAGGCCAACCTTCAGTCCAATGTCACGTACCAGCTTTACGGCAAACCTCCCCCACAATATGAAGGTTAGTTCACCACATCGATCAAGATTTCTGGAAGCCAATACTTCATAGTCCAAAGAAGAGGGAGGCCTCGTTCTCACAGCAGTTGCCGGGGACTGTGGTTTATTGTCAGACAAACTAGCATCTATGATTTGACCAGTATGGATACACTGTTCTCTATATTAGTCCTCCATTTGCATTATATAATAATCTGGGAAACCAACCAACACAGGGAAGTTGAAAACAACGCCTTATTTGAATTGGTCATGGTTGTCGAAATGACTCGATGGATTTGATACTTTGCTAAACATAAAAAGCGAGTAGGAAAGAGAGGGAGAATTGGATAATATGTACAAATACTCTGTCCGATATAGTCCTAGGGATGTTGAAGCGCTCTTTTTTTTTTTTTTTTTTTTTTTTTTTATCTTTAGCTCAGTCAAAAGAAGCCTCTGGTAAACAGGATCATATCATCAAAATGTTTGAGGAATGAATGAATTGAAGGGTAACTAAAAAACAATGTTACGGTCTTGGCAAATTTATCGTTCGCGTGCTGAGGACCTTCAGAGAATAAATCACGGTTGTTTGATTTCCCGCGCAACGCGACCACTCATTGAAGAGAACTCCCCCACCTACACCTTTCATTCGCTTCGACAAAGCATGGTTCTAGTCCAAGGATCTGATTAAGATGGACGACGCGACAAAATCTCTGCTCACAGAGCATTTCAGTTACACTCCGCTGGTCAGTATTTCTGGTCAACGCCTTGTTTCAGACATGCGCCTCCCTTGCCCCTCATATGCCACCTTTTCTTGAGGTAACGAAAGCTGATACACTGATCGCAGTCCCTTGTAGATGACGTGATCAACTCGATCAACAATCTGATCTATCAAGCTATCTCGAGTCTCGAAGCCGGTTTACTCTCCACTCCTCCCGAACGGTTGGGCTTCTCGCACGCTACCAACGGTTCGACTATCCCAGATACAGACGAGGATGGGAACGTTGTTTACCCTGAAGCGAAACTGGAGATAGAAGATGGACTACACAAACTTGAAACCCTCCTTGAGGCGACCGTCGACAAGGCGTTCGACAAGTTCGAAATTATTGTCCTGCGAAACTCGTTTCGAGTGGACGATGACTTGCTAGGATGGATTCGACTGAAGCATTATGAGGTGTGCTATGTGTTTGGGTGACCATGGTTCTGTGTGCAACTGACAATGTATCTTCTTTAGAACCTGGATCTAAATCCGTCCCCCAACGCACCCACCCCGGACACAATTGTTGCTCTGCGCAAAAAACTACAAGAAACAAAGAAATTGAACCGAGCTTTGAAACAAGAGACCGCTCGGAACGATGCGGTCATCTCCCAGCTGCGGTCAATCTTATCCACCGTTAAAGGCGCCGGCGGCGCGACAAGTGCGAAACAGGAGGGCGACTCCGAGACGCCTGCACTGCCTACAAACCAAGATTTAGACCTATCGTTCTTAACGGAGAGTCCAGCGGCCAAGCAACTACGAGTTGGCGCTACCATTGGATCAAATACCAAACATACACCGCTTACTACCAATACAACTTTTATATTATCTCAACTTCCTGCCCTGCAAGCGTTACTGAAGCAGCTCCGGCCTAAGCTGGCTACTCTGCCTAAATCGGCGGACGCCACGGGAGCAGATTCTAAACGTGACGAGAGAAAGGAGTACATTGAGAGCAGAATCCGCTTGCATCTCGAACGAACTGGCCAGCTTGGGGTGGGCAGTGATGGCAACCCGGTTGTCGCCGGACGAAAGATCGATATTTCCGAAGCGCAGGCGCTCGAGGCGGTCACAGGAATGCTTACGCAAGGTGACAAAATGTCAGAATAAGAATGACGATGGTTGGAAATGGATGGCAAAGTCATGCGCCATTGGCTATCGGGATAACAATTTATTTCTGGCATAAGGTCAATATGGGCTTAGGAAGACCAGGACACACTCCATGTCTGCTGGTCCCGTCTGAATGGGACCACGTCCACTTTGTCCGACTGCAAAAGGTTTACGATCTTTTCGTTTTTCTTCTCGAGGGTAATGAACTCCTTCTGTTCCTCACCAATGCCATAGAATTGGCGGCCAAACTTGCTCATGAAGCCTTCAACCACCTCGGGGGTGATGTCTTCCTCCCTGAGGATGCCCTTTTCACATGCCTGTTCGAAAGAGTCCAGCACGACCTGGGTTGTGTAGGGCTGAGTGAAGACGCCCGCCGCGATTTTGTCTCCACCCCTCTTGGAGGCTGCCGGGTGAGGGGCACTATCGGAGCCGAAGAAGAATTTGGGGTTGCCAGATGCTGCTGTCCGCAGGAGAGCGTCACGATCCGCGGGTGTTTTAGCCACAGGCTTGCAGAAACAGAACGGGTCTCCAGCCCAATTGTCGATGATGATGGAAAGATGATGGGCGGTAATGCTTTTGATCCCTGACCGTTAGCACATATCCATTGCAACGTGTAACCGGGATACCCACGTTGCTGCCACAGTAGGGCCACACTTCTTCACGGCTTCTACAGCAGCTGCAGTAGTACAGTGCTCCAGAATAATGCGAAGCTTCGGGAAACGCTCGTGCAATTGCAACAAGGTGGGTAGGAAGCGCTCCTCCGCCGACAAGACGGTTACATCGCCAGTGGAAGGGACCTCTCCGTGAAGATTCAGAACCATGTCCTGACGCTCCATCTCTGCAAAGACCGGGTAAAATTGGGTATAATCTACCACGCCAGAGGACGAGTTGGTGGTAACGCCTGCTGGGTAGCTCTTGACACCGGTGACACCGCGCGTCTTGGCTTCGATAATGGTTTCCGGGGTCACGGACTCGTGAAGGTACAGCGACATGAGGAAGTTCACATTGGGTTCAATGGCTTGCAGGCGCTTCTTGTAGTCGAGCGCGCGGTCGACGGTTGTCACTGGCGGCACCAGGTTGGGCTAAAATATCGTTCCAGTTCCATGAGTAACGAATGTATTAGACCGAGGTCCATTGGAATCAATCAACTAACTCCTTACCATGACGAAAACCGTGTTCACACCACCTTGTCTGATCGTAGGCGTAACCAGCTCCATCATGTCACCATCGCGAAGGTGTACTACGCACCGTACCACACCTCGGTCAATTACTGTCTCACAACCGGGGAGTACATTGGGGTTAACGCACCGTGGAAGTCGGCCGACGCGGGGAGCTTCACTCCCTGGAGCTTGGAGAGAGGCATCGTGAGAGACGTATGCGAGTTGTTCTAGAAGTAAAGACAAAAATGCTCAGTCAGAAGAGTCAACGAAGGTTGGGGGAGAAGCAAATCGCGTACCAGGTCTCAATTACTTTGCAGTAGATTTATGTTTCTGTAGATTTACGTTCCTTTTTCCTTTTCCCCGCCATGATTTTTTTTCGATCGCGGGGCAAGCCTTTGCTTTGATTTAATTGGGTGGGGCTCATTTGTAAACTTACTACCGACCGATAAATTTATTGACTGAATAACAACCATCACCAGGACATATCAGGGTTACTCTTTGGCTGATCTTCTGTCTGACTTATCGGAGCGTTCTGATCAAATATCGTCTGGACCATCGATCCGGGCACAATGCAAATGTTACATGCCTTGGCTAGAGCTTGGTATCGTCGAATAAAGAACCCCCCCCCCCCCCCAACGTCCCTCAATCGGCGCACAGGGGGGACAAGCCTAGGGTCACCAGGGATCCAGTTTGTCAAATGGTGTTCCGCTATTCCGCTAGCACCGCCAAGTGACACCCTTCAGCGACGGCGTCATGAATGAATTTGGCAGTAGTAGCGGATTCTATTATAGGTTCGTCTCGCCGCGACCACGTCTCACATCAGCCCTCGGCGCCGTTATTGGTTAGAAAACGTGATATCAAAGAATCCTGGCATTCGGTCATCTCATATAACTGTTTCCTGGGAAGTTGGAGGGTTTCCTCATGTCTTGGACTAGACGCTCAGTCCAATCACCGCGTCGCATTCAAGCAATGCTGACGAGAGACGAAGCTGACAAATTCGTATAGGTTTCGTGCCGAGGCTCTAAACTATGGCTTTTCAATAGTCTGTGATAGCTCCTGGTATTCCCTTTGTTGCTATGAGTTAGGTACCTTGCTATAATGGACATTAATATGCTTTCAACATCATTCCCCGCCAGCGTATACATATACTCCTTCATCTCTGCTCATAACATCGGTCCTCTGATGCTTGAACTCTCATATGTCTTCTTTGTATAAGCCAGAACGTCAATGGAAGGTACGCGATGGTTGCTACCGATAAGCCTACCATAGAACCTCAAGAGACGGCCATCCTACCTCCGGCGAGTTCGCCAGTTCCCTCTCCCCCAAACGGTGGCATTGCAGCATGGCTGGGCGTGTTTGCTGGCTTTCTTTTGTTTCTCACTACCTGGGGCTTTTCGACGGCCTACGGCGCCTTCCAACACTTTTACCGGACGGATCTCTTAAGAGACAGCTCACCGTCGCAGCTATCGTGGATTGGCACAGTCAATGCCTTCTTTCTAATTTCCACTGGTGTTATTGCTGGCCCACTGTTCGACCGGGGTTTCCTAATCCATCTGATGGTTGCCGGATGCTTCTTGACTACGCTGGGCCTTATGATGTTAAGCATTTCTCAACAATACTACCAAGTACTTTTATCCCAGGGTTTCTGCTGTGGGATCGGTAGTGGGCTCATCTATGTGCCTGCCCTATCCCTAGTGCTAACCAGCTTCACGTCGCGCAGGGGGATTGCCCTCGGCATGGTGACCTGTGGTGCCAGTATTGGTATTGATCGATACCCCGATAGCTTACTGCAACACCTGTTCATGACTAACAAATATCAGGCGGCGTTTTATTTCCCATAATCTTCATGCGCCTGCAGCCTCACATCGGCTTCCCCTGGACGGCTCGAGTCATGGGATTTATTCAGCTAGGCTGTTCATGTATTGCAGTTCCTCTACTGATGGCAACTACTAAGCCAAGACGCAGTTCCCCACGCCAATTAATCCATTGGGATGCGCTCAAGGAGTGGAGCTTCAATGCCTATGGAGTCGCTAATTTTTTCATGTTCATGTCCTATTTTGTGCCACTGTTCTATGTGCCTTTCTTTGCCTCGCAGGTACTTGAGACTTCGACAGATATGAGCTTCTATCTTGTGTCAATCTTGAACGCCGGTTCTGCCGTGGGCCGTTTAGGGTCGGCATTGTTGACGCAACGGTTAGGCGCTGGTATGATCTTGAGTGTAAGTGTTACCGCATCGGCGGCTTTGATTTTCGGTTGGATTGGCGTCAGAACGCAAGCCTCCTTCATCGCATTTTGTGTATTATTTGGCATCTCCTCTGGAGTTCTGATATCAGCAAATCCTTTGGTGATCGCGCACCCCGTTGTATCGCCCTCTCCAGCTATGATTGGGACCCGTATGGGTATGCTGTGGTTTACAGCGAGCCTGGGAGTACTGATTGGAGCACCTATTGCGGGCGCGATTGAGGGCCATGGTGGAGGAAATGGGTATCTTGGGCTGCAGGTGTTCAGCGGTGCCATCATGGCCGGCGGGGGAATCTTCTTGATGGTGCCTCTACTGGCAGCCTGGCGATATGATCGTCATCTGAAAGAGCTAGAATAGTGCATCCGCTGAGATCTGGGACAGCCCTGGGGTGAGCTTGGCTGTAAACACACAAACTCCCGGGTACTATTTCACTGTTCAGATCAGATCAGAAGAAGCATTTCAAGAATCGTTTACGATGCATATTATCCCCTAAGCCTTTCTTTCCGGATCAAGGATATCAGATATTCCGCTTTCTTACGAATATCATCGTCAAGTGGAATATTATTTAGGGTGTATGTAAGTATCAGCCCTTCGCCTGCCGGCTTCTTCATGAATTATAACTCTCCCCTTGCGATCACCACGTCTAAAAGAAAGATGGGACATGTTCTGTTTTCAGCTTTTTGAGCTTGCATATCAAGTTCAACTAAGGCAGGAAATGTATGGCGACGAGGTTGAGATGAAGGGTGGCAGTGCGTTTATTGGTTTGGGTCAATGACTTGCAACAGGGGTACTGTTTTTGAATGCCATGTTAGTTTCTGCGCCCATCACCGACTGTGTAGCTAATGTTCAGCTGCACTCTCTGCAGCACTTTACATTGCGCTACTTAGTGGCAGACTTGCTTCGCTACCAGTACCTAAGCTGTCCGCTGAACAGATCACTTGTCCCTGAACCTCATTTCCAACCATTGGAATGATCTCCCGTACTACATGACTCTAAGCTTCAACAACTGAGGCATGCGGTCGCTGTTAGGTGGCACATTCTTCAAAGCAGACATCGAGTGCAACCTAGTTAGCGCATGGCTCAGCCCTGCATTCGCAGTGATCAATCCTATCCTAGAAGAGGGAAGTTTCGTCCAGCTTGCTACAGCTCTAGAAAGACGACAGCCAAAGCTGACACCGCTTTGGCTCGGTGCTCTCATGACAGGGTTGGCGAGATCTGGGTTGCGCGATATTCGGAATGGACTGACAGCGATTGATCTCACGCAGCTGCGTGGACGGGGAACTACAAACTGCTTCATTACTCCGAAGCCTGGTGTAGCTTAGGAGCACACAATCCGTCGCGAAGACGAATGTCGATTGCTTTTTATCACAGCCAGTGATGGGTATTCTATGGTTCCCGGCGAAGCCTTTTGGACAATCAAACCTAAGCGACACCGATCTTGCAGTGCGAGAACATGCACACTGTGGTTGTCATTGCTTTGAGTACAAGGCATGGTACTGGCGTCTCACTGGTGGAGGGATAGATGATCTTGGGCTTAAGTTAACGCCATCGGTCGGAGGACTGTTGCAAATTGGAGAGGGGCTTGAACTGCCTCTCACTATACCGTGCGATGACTCGTTGTCTGAAGGTCAAACTCGTAGTATATACCAATGGCTAAGAATGACAGGGAATCCTACTTCTGAACGAGCTATTTATCAACACGAATGGATGGATGCCGGAAGTTCTAGTGAGGAAGAGGTACATGATGGATCTTTCTCATCTCCCGGATTTTGCGATGAGCTTCTTGAAAACTGGATGGAGACACTTGACCATAACGATAAGTCATCTATTCCAAGGCTATTTTACTCTTCAATAAATAGTTATCTGCTGAAGACGCCAGGTATTAAAGGTAGTGCGAAAGTTGAATGTAAGTCTTCCACTATTGCTTCGTTCCCGGATAATTTCGATTTGGCCGAGTCATACAGTCCAAGGCCAGTGACTGTGCCGACTGAGATATTCTGTAGCCGCCTATCATCCACTACGAAACCAGGTGGCGTCTTCCAGGAGCGTATCATAGGGCGAGGATGATCGATCATCGTGAAGTCAATGCATCGTGAACGTCTCCCCAGAATAGCCGCTGATTGGTCGATCCGAGTGCATCTTCTTCCCATTAAGCGCCCTGGTCAGTCTAGAGCGAGATCGCATTGACCTATGTTTATTTGACCTTGACTAAAGGGTGGTCGTGCAGAAATCTGCAGAAGTTAATTTGTGCATGAGCGGCTAATCCAAGTCCTTGACTGGTGCGATAAATCTATATTAGGGTATCTCGGTATTTGCTATACTGTGGAGGAATCCACCGATGGATGGTCGGACCAGAAGAACTGCGCTTAGAAGGTCTCGAGCTGTAATTTTTAAACGCTCAATGTTTCTCCAGGGTTACAAAATCCCTTCGTTAACCCTTATTTTTGTTTATTTTCCCAGCCTTTGTGCTCGTCGTTCGCTTTATATTCCATCTCGGAGTCCCTCCTTTTTTAGCCTTCTTCTGTCTTTATCCGTAGAGATTGCAGGCGATTCTCTTCACCTAATTAATTTGAAATTGTGCAATAGTATTCTCGATTCTTGTTCATATCAACCTCCGTGCGTTCTTCAGATTGTACTTGATATGGATACCGGTTCCACCAGTTCCGTCTCCTACCATGTGTCGTGCGCCTCTGATGCGGACGAGTCGAAATACCTTAAAAGGGTTCAATACCTTCGTTGGGTTCGACTCACTCTCGGGATGATCATCTTTGGCGTCGCTGTCTCTATTATAGGATGTGAAGCAGTCCCCTTCCAACATTATCGAGCGACATCAGCATACGGCAAGGTCGGACTATATCTCTGGCCCTTGAACTTCGACATCCGTCCGACCGTCGCATTGCTGTCCTGCGGTTGCATAATTGCATTTCTGAATTTGACATACACTGCTATCGCTCTTCTCCCTTCTGTGAGTCTACCATCCTCTATGACATGCTAGTGATGCCACAAATTATCGTCAACAAACTCATCTTACTGACCATCCCAGCCTCACGCACATATTAGACGCCAAAACCTCGTTTCCACGGCCATCGCCGTCTCAGGATTCCTCACTGCATTAGTAGGGCTCATATTCGCCATCCATCTTCCGAACTCAAACCCTCCAAATGGGTTCTCGAGAGTAGAAACCCTCCACTCATGGACCTGCAAATGGAAAACGGTGCACGGCCCACTGTCATCGAAGGTTGATGACACCGTTAGTCCGCCGCCTGCTCATTTCGCGCGTGACTGTGCCCTCACTCGGGCTTCTTTTATTCTGACAGGGCTGGCTGTCGGATTGGCGATTCTGATGGGGGTTGCGGCTGGTGTTGGGTTTTGGTTCGAGAGAAGTGTCTCTCGGCAACGAGAACAGGATACTTCTCCGTTGAAGAAGGTGACTATCATGGGGAAGTATCCGGGTATTTGATGCGTTTGGGTTAGTATTAGGGATTGGATGGCTTGATGTCTTGATGTCTATTTGGGAGTTGGCACATATTGCTGGACTCCTTGTTTGTGCTGGGGGGGGGGGGATTATTCCTTAGGGTTTGGGGTTACTGTGGTTGTCTCTGGTTAGGCATGTGTACGTACAGTAATTTTCAAAATTGGAAGTATTTCTTCTGATGGTAGGAACTTTGTAGGTATCCTATGCTTGGTATGTAGACACCTGGGAATTGATATCCCTAAATCTTAGCCCGCAACCTCAAATCATCAAAAGGCAAACCCAAAAACTCCCACATAAAATGCCACCGATCACTCCCAAAGAACGGCTCCCCCTTTCCCTCCCCGTTCACGACCCAAAACCACGGGCACCCGAACGCCCCCAACTCCTTCACGACTCTCTCCGTCGTCGCCGCCAATTCAGCCTTAACCTCAGGCGTCCCTGCAGCGGTAATAATCTTCTCTACTTCCTCGGCGCTGAATACATTTCCAAGAGCAGTAGCCAGATTCTCGGGCTTGGAAATGTCCAATTGGCCCTTCCACATCGTTTCAAAGCAGTGCTTGAAGGCTGCCGAGAGGGTTGATTTGGGGTGGTGGGTTTTGATGTAGGTTAGGGCTCTTTGGGGCTGGATTTCGGATTTGGTTTTGGGGTTAGTTTTTTTTTTCATGAGACTTTGTCTGTTTGGGTTCTGGGTTTTTGGGTATGGATCGATAGGTCCCAAAGTATTATCTATTGATGAGAGAAAAAAAAATGAATTAAGACAAACATACCAAAAGCGACAAGATAGGCCACCAGGAGGGAATTTCGAAGTTGTGGCCAAAGTATTTCTGGGCTCGTTTGCCGTCGTAGCTTGAGTAGGCGGCTTTGGCGGGGAGGGTCCAGGGGGGTTTATTTCCTTTATTTTTCAAGATATTTTCTTTAGAAGTCGTTCTTACCGGAAAGTAGAATGCACATGAGCGAAGAAGACGTCGTATGTGTATGTGTATGTGTATGGGTATGGGTATGGGAGAAGATAGCTCATACCACTGGCTACATTGATCCCTCCTAGAAAGACGGGAATATACCTATGAGGGACATTAGTTAGAACCCGGCTAGGGAGATAATATAAGAGTAGTACTGTAACATACTCAATCTCAACACCTAGACTCTCGAGAGTAGCAGCATTCTTCTGCAGATACGTGAAGGCGTAGAAGCTGTATGGTGACACTTTTTTCACATGACTGCTATCAGCGATTGATATCGGATTCAGTGGTGGTTGTTTGGAATGATGACCTACCGCAGTCGAGGTAGCATTCAATTTTCTTGCCCATTTTTGCTCTTTATTTTGTCGTTTGTATGTTTTGGGTGATTTTCTTTTCTTTTTTAGATATGAGTACTAATTTATTATGAGGTTGCGGTTTTAAGTGGTGTTGGTCGGTGGGGATGCCGAGGATGTTCGTTTGGCCGACGTCGGGTCGGCTTTGGGATAGCGGGTGATGCTGTCTTGGGAACAGTCGTGTTTATCTATATTAATTGGATGTTATTTTTATGGGAATATAAAGGACGGGCAGGGTTTATAGATTAATTTGTGGGTTATGTCAATATGGTCATAAAATTTTCGGTATAGGACGAGACTGGTCAAACGGGTCGTCCGGAGTTGGCATTGATTTTCATCTACACGGTCTTAAATCTAATAATTTGTTCTACTTCAAAGTTGTAACAATAGACAGAGATACAGCTGGGCGATTTCAATCGAATACATCATGACTTCAAGTTGCTATATAAATATTGGCCAAGTATATACCAGGGCGTAACAATCAACCAGTTGAAGCCGGTTGACCATCCACAGCTTGCTCTGCACCAAGCAAACTGTCAACAAGAACCAAGCCTCTTTCATTTAGATTCGGATATCTAGCAAGAGCATAGAAATCTCGCCAGGACTCTCTTCCTTCCTCGTACTTTAAGAGACGCGCACGCAGCAACGCTTTTCACTCCGCATCTTCTGCTGCGAACCCAATACTGGTAGCTGCATACTCCCACCAGGCAGGAAAGTAACCAGTTGATTCCCAATCTAGTATCCCGATTAGTCCGCCATCCCTGACATGAACGTTTTGGCAATTGTGGTCCCCGTGGGTAAAAGTGTAAGGGGTACAGATGGGCTGAGGCCGATCTTTGAATTGTGTCCACTAAAGAGACGGTAACTCTTTTAATGCCTGCAATAGAGCATCATATAGTTGTTGATCAGAGCTTAGTGGTCCGTAGGGCCTACCTTCATCGTTCAGGAAGAGCCAATTGGAGTAGAATGGGCTACTGTCAATGCTTTGCATGATGGGTGATTGGAATTGTCGCAATTGCTGTATGTACTCCGCCACCTGGTCTGCGATATGCTCCTTCTGGGGCTGCGATAATGTGGGCCACGCTTCTTCTGTTGTCTGACCATTTAAATGATCCATAAGAACAAAGTACCGATCAGAGTCATTGGTCCATTCCCTGGTGATTGATGGGATGGGATCGTGGTTCGCTGCTTGAGAAATTTGATGTTTGGAACCTCGATCTTTGGTGGTAGATTCGGCCATTCTTCAAGGATGGCATTCGAACCGAGAGCCTACACTCCCCGATCGCCGGCGCTATAGAGGAGCTTCACCTGGCTGGAGTAGCTGCAACACTCTTGTTTGGAAGCAGACCAGTTGCAAGCCGGGTATACGGTGTTAGCTTTCTGCTTAGATATGGCCATGACACCAGTCATCGCGTAGGATAAGAATTCACTATCTAGCCCCAGTTATATAGTTCCCATGATCAGTCTCATGTCTAGGTTATTCGTGTTAAGGGCTATTGTTTGGGTGTAGACAGAAGGCATTTGTAAGACAAGAGTAGATGGAAGACTGCATAATCATCTGGCTAGATAAAGATAACGTAAATGACAGTCTATCTATATCTTTGCCCGCAGCTTCGTACTGTCCATCCTCACCCCCTCGTCATCCTGTTCGGCTACTTCCAGCACTGGCAGCTCCTTTGGCATGATGCGTCGTGGTTTAGACCCCGGGACCACTGAATACTTCGAGAAATCTGAGACTCCGCAGTATTGGCGCAGGAAGTCTTCGTCTAGCGCCAGCATTCCGTTCACGGTCGCTACAGGCGTATTTAGGATGCCGATGACAGCGTCGGAGAACACAGTCTACATTGGCTGGTTAACTATGTGATTCTATAATGCAGTCGATGAACTTACCGGCTTCCTAAGGTCGGCTTTACGAGAAGGATCTTTCGACGTAGTTACTTCCGTCGCAGCGGATTCGGTGCTCTGCACATGTAAGTCATCATCTGCAAGAAACAATTTTTCACTAGGTAAGTGATGTACCGTGGCTGGCCAAAGACTCGTAATCGCCATATCTTTATGGCCCTGTCTCACAAAGTCCATCGCAAGACCTCGGGTAAGAACACTCATCCCAACTTTGCCTGCGGAGAATTAGCATTGCATATTCCCCACTACAACTAAGTATCAAAAGGACGCAACAAACCCATAGCATAAGCCGTCTTCCCTCTAAAGAATCTTGAATAGATAGGCGGCGACACAACAATGATACGTCCCTTCCACCCATTCCTCTCAAACTCAGGTAGTGCTGCCTGCACACTAGCATACAACCCCTCAGGGTTAACACGCTGCATCAGCTGAAACCGCTTCATAGGCGTATTTGCGACAGACGACCACCAGATCGCCCCGGAGTTGTAGACAAGGACGTCCAATTTTCCCGCAAGACGCACGGTTTCTTTCACCATGCTCTCAACTTGGGAGACATCGCGGACATCGACCTGGATCGCGAAGGCTTTGCCGCCAGCTTCTTTAATCTCGCGTTCAACAGTGGCGATGGTCGATTTGTTGGAGTTGGGGTCTGGTGGAAACGGGACTGTTTCATAAGCGTTGGATGTGGTTTTGGCTGCCACAACGACTGGGCATTTTCATTAGTGGTTGTATTTGTCGAATGATTATCGTGAAATGCTGTGGAGATACATACCTGTGTAGCCGCTCTTTGCTAGGTCAATGGCGATTTGGCGGCCCAGGCCCCGTGAGGCGCCGACGACTAGGGCAACTGGGTTAGGTGATGTCATTGCTGGAACTTATCAGTTGTCGGGGATTTGTGGAAGGAAACGGTAGATTCCTCTCGAAGCTGCACGTAGACGGGACTATTCCTGTTTATATACAGTCATGGAAGTAATGTAAGTATCTAACCCCAGATTTGACCTCCTCACTTTTATCCTCGGGATGTGGGCTGTTTGGTTTTCTCATTTGTGTCCCTGACCGAATTGTTGCAAGCCGACCCGAGCTCGGCTCGGCCTGTACAACAACATTAATAATCTCCTCCGTGAGAACTATATATGATATTCTCACATATTCACTGCGCCAGGTTTTGATCTCCCTAATTTTAAAGTGTCGCATTCTGGTGTTACTACAGCTGCAACCTTGCTTATACTCTCCCTACTGCAATGGCCGGTATTTAGGGCTATGAATCATCTAGGGCAGCGCAAGAGACCTTGAGAACGTTTACGGTCTCCCAATTGAATGGGTACTCTGCCATTCTTTACTAGCCTTTCTTGTACGCTTGTCCTTGATATTCGTTTTCGACTCATTGTTCGAAGAGAACAAGGAATGCAAGTCCATATGTACTCCTTTCCGACGACCCAGAACACGTTAAGTTGCAAGGGCGGAAACGATGGCGTCGGTATTCAATGTTTCTTCGGACACCCATTGTCTATCAGGCTGATCTTCACTAGCAATATTCCGTCTCACTTCAAGCGTAGCCGTGGAAGCTTCATGCAGCGGATCCTTAATGATGTGTGACAATTCATGCCTGGACTTGTCGCGCCCAGAGCCCAAAGTCAAACGCAACGGTCTGTTTGATAACCACCAATTTATCACCAAACGTGGCCACTAACACGGGTCTTTGCTCATTCCGTATGGGTAGAGGCAGTATTCCAAGTGTTATGAGTTCTAAGAACGCCTACCTGGTAGTCAAGTACCATTGTCTGTCCCCTGCGAATTCCCAATTCGGATAATCTCTCGAAGATTTCGCAACACTGCAGTAGGTTCGCAGCTTTGTAGCGCATCTTCGAGATCGCTTGGTGAGTTATCATCAATGCTACCGGGAGTAGAACTAGAGACAGATCCAAAAGGCATATTTCCGACCTCACGGGATGCAATACCCGGCCCCTGAGACTGAACCAGGGCAGTTTGTCGCCTCTGAGTTTCTCGCGCCAGGATTTGAAATACAACCCTGCTCTGCGGAAGAATCACTTGTTGTACTTTTGGCCGTTTGAAAGATGTTGGTCTCCGAGGTGCCTCGGGGTCGTCTTGCTTGTCCCCAAGTGCACGTTTCTGACATTCCTCCACAGCAACTGACAGTAGTCTGTTGAATTGTTCAGGAGTTGTCATTGTTTGGAAGAATTCCAAAAATAGCGTTGCAATGGGCCATGTCTTGGCCAATGCCTCTAGTAGTTCGAGATTGGATTCAAGTTTTAGCCTGATACCGTGCAGGAGAGATGGTAGTGAAGCATCCATTTGATGTTTCAAGGTAACGAAGGACGTTACGGCGTAGCAGATTCTGTACACTTGTTAGGAAAATATAATAAGACACAAGTATGCATGCATAGATACATGAATGTAGGGGAGTATTGAAGCTCATTGTGCGAAAGAAGAGTCTCCATAATTGAGACAATGGTCGACGCAGCGTGGAAAGCCGAGCTCTGAGATTCTTTGGAGGAAAAAGGGGCCTGCAGTAAATGCAACTGGCATACGATTGTGCTGGAGACTGTTAGCACACCACAAGATATCTACGTAATAGAAAACTTACTAGAACGTAGAAAATAATATCGCCGACAGAAACGTGTGGCGCGTCTGTCTCCAATGTAGGTCTGGAGGACAAGCTACGAGCCATTCATTTAACCCAAGCTCGCACTGCGCAGCTCCAGCACTTCGAGCATCTTGAGTAGATCTTGCAGAGAGGTTCAAACACAAACCCAGATCCATAAGCTGGCAGAGTTTGACATACTCCATAAAGAACTTAGCCTGAACTTCACTTGTCGGCTCAGATAGTGCATCTTCATCATGCTCGAGAAAGTCACTCTCTGCTAGTGGCTCTACTGTGCAGTCGCTTGGATTGATATGCAACGGTCGGCCAAACGCCGCAGCTACGGAGCGGTCTCGGGTATACAATGTCCACCATATCCGCTTGCGGAGGCCTCGTTGTGATGGCTGGAGGCCAGTGTACCTTTCACTTCTTTCACTTAGTTAGGATCAGCAATCACTGACTGGAGATTTTACCTCTCATGTAGCCCAAGCTCCTGTGCCAAAGCAATACCTAGCCGGCTCCAGTAGAATATCCCGTTTTCAGTAAGATCTTTGATCAGTCAACACTAGTACTGATAAACGAATCAAGTCGGCCGTGAAGGCATACCGTCAGGACCTTCCCAGTAAGCACCTAGCAAGACCACAGCTTGGATGACAATTATCAGGTTGGTTTCATAGCCAGCGTCATATAATGCTTTGGTTTTCTTATAGAACGTGCGCGGCGATACGGTATACTGTTTTGAGTTCTGCTGGCTGGTAGAATATCGGGATGCAACCATAAGCATTGCTTGTAACAGTAAAGTTGACGGCGGGTCTTCCGAACTGTTATACTGCCTCATGAAAGCATGGCGATCGATCACGGGCAGCATTGGCGCTACCCATTTGAAGAATACGCCCACAAGCGTATCCTGGACGTCTTTAGGCGGGAGGCCAAAAGCATCTCGACGGTGTAGAATCTCGAGTTCAAGCGGCTCCAGATGACTGGGATGACATATTGAGTGATATTGTGCCATAGAGAGAATTACTATTAGTAAATATTAGTCGAAGGAAATTGAGTGGCGCCAAAGTGAAGTGTATACACTATTGTGTCTGGTCTGCTTATCGACGTTCATATCAGACACCCTCGGCTCAATTCTAATTGGCTGGAATGGACTGTATGGTCCGGTCTACAATTTCATGTCACACCGCCCTGGCAGAATTTCTTCTATTCTCGCGCCTCTGCATGAGTGTCGTCGTTCTAATACTTTGCGACTCATTCTAATTCAGTTGAGAGAAACATCTTTCAGGCTATAGAATCATGTCGGCCGACCCAGCTACAGTACCAGATCTCGATCTGGAGGACGAGCAGTATGACTCTGCCGATGACGAAGACTTCCAGGTAGATGCGGCCCAAGACGACGCCGACGACCTCACTGGTTCCGATAGCGAGGACGAGCCCATCGAGCCCGCAACCAAAAAGCGCAAGGCGGGAAACAAGGCACCGGAACAGGAAGATAATAATCTCGACTCGGGCGATGAAGCGACAATTCAAAAGGCTAAGACGAAAAGAGCCAAGAAGCAGAAAGGAAAGGACGAAGACGGGGATGATGAGGATGATGTTGATGATGTTGATTTTGACGACGAGGAGGGTGGCCCTGGCGGCTTTGTTCGGACACGCGCCATGAAGATGCGAACGTGCGTTCCTATATATCTTCTGTTCGTTGCTGCGTCCGATTAGTACTGACTTCGCTGTTGTATAGCCAGGAAGAGCGGAAACCTCTCGCGAAGATCGATGGAGCAACTGTCGATGTCGATGCGCTGTGGGAGAAGATGAACGCCCCTGATACAACTTTAAGATTGAATCCCTCGCAGACTGAGCAGAAAAACGAGACTCCGGTCGAAGAAAACAAAGACACGGAGATGCGTGATGGCGAAACCCCTGTCACTGAGGAAAAGCGACAAGCTAGTCAATACTCAGAGGAGATGGTGAAGATCAAGCGTACCTACAAATTCGCGGGCGAATGGATTACGGAAGAAAAGGTCGTCCCTAAAGATTCAGCGGAAGCCAAGCTTTATATGGCCAACGAAAAGGATGTCGAAACAGTAACCGCCGCCGATAACGCCGCCGATTCTAAAGAAACTATAAAAATCCGCAGGCCTCTTCGAAAGATCTCCCGCTTCGACCCAAACCCTACTGGATCCATCAAGAAAAGTTGGGAGAAGCAGCCTATCGCAGAAACAACACAAGAGAACGCTCGTGGCCCCAAGATCAACACCGTCGAGAAGTCGCGCTTGGATTGGGCTGCGTACGTCGATCAAGCTGGCATCAAAGACGAGCTCAAAACTCACAGCAAGGCAAAGGAAGGTTTTCTGGGTCGTATGGACTTCTTGGATCGTGTTGGTGCCAAGCAAGAGGAAGAAAGGAGAAACATGCGCTTGAAGGGGTTGTAAAGGACTTGCCGAACCTCTTTTTTTCGCATCGAGGAGTACAGATTGGTACAGCTTGGAACAGCTTTGCTATATCCAACACATACATTCCGATCTGTTTACTGGCCCATTTAGCCTGCGTTGTCCTCTCGAGCTTCGAACGAAGATAGGTATACATGAGAATGCTCTGCGGAATTGGATGGCGAAAACCTGACACCCTCGGTGCTCATGTTGGTGATGAGCTTGCTGACTATCAGCTCGAAGGGCATCCGTACGTGTGTCGTCTGCTGCTGTTGAACGGTAGTAGTTAACTCAGACCAGTAAAGACACACGTATCGCATATGCAGCTCCCCTATAGTCATAGGGACTTCCGATTCATTCTAGACAACCATCGCTTGGTCGAATGATACAAGCTGAAGAAACGGCTGTATCATGCTGATAGCCTCAAGGTCTTCGCATCGCTTCAAGTACGATTCTCATTTGTACGGCGCGAGTGCACCCACACTGTAACTAAACTACTGCAAGGACATTGTGACATGTGCACATAGATCCATTCAAAACCTCCTAATAATATGTACATACATCATTGCACAGCCTAACGCACCAATAGACATACAGTACTCGTAGAACATACAGCTTCCATCTTAACCGCCCCTTATACTGAACATTCTCAGTTGAAGCGAATAGACTGGCTAGCCTTGTCGCTACGGAACTTCCAGGCTGGCGCAGTGGAGTTCTCGCTCTTCTTGGGCAAGTACTTAATACCAGAGGAGGAACATCCAGAAGACGTAACTGGCACCGGATTAGCTCACTTGACAACATACAATAATGCATAGACTAGAGGCACTTACGAGTGTCAATTGCCTGGTACTCGCCGGTAATCGCATTGCCCTTGATGTTATAGAAATACCAAATCTCGTTCAGCGCACCGTCATCGCAGCCGATGTAGGGCTTCTTGCCGTCATGAATCGCAGCAAGAGCGGATTCGATCTCACTCTTTTTGTAGGTCTTGGAGGAATCGGGGACGATGCCGGCTTTGGCAAGAGCCTGGGATTGTTAGGCGTGGTTTCTCGGGAGCGAGGGGAAGAAATAGACAAGAACTATTAAAAGAGGTATAGAGAAAGGGGCTGAAAAAAGGAAAAAGATATGACAAACCTTGTAGCTATCCAGACCCTTGAAAAGGTCTACAGTCTTCTCCAAATAATCACCCACTTCCTTCTGCGGGGTGTAATCCTTGTAGCAGCTCGGTTCAATCGTGTTGATGCAGGTACCTTTTCGTTACACAAAGTTAGCAATCCACGAGCCTTGTAGTGGCGCTTACAGGCCTGTAGTGTAACCGATGCTTACCGTGCTTGTTCCACTCGTGCTCCCAGAATTCTTCATCATCGCCCTCATAGCTGGGCCAGTATTTCTTCATGTAGGACAGAAGTTCGGTCCGGCCCTGCTCCTGAAGAATGGCGGTGATGTTCGAGAACTCGCGCGACTTGTCGCAGAATTGCCCATAGCTACCATCGCAATTATCAGGCCTGGAAATTATCAGTTTTATCTACCATGTACGAGTGGTTCCGCATTTACCAGAGTCCGTGGATGGTCCATGAATCGGAAGGACCAGTTGGGGGATCTGTGTCCCAGAATTGTGTCTGCAGGAGGGCGCCTCCCGGGGAATTGAAGCAGCAGGAGTCCGCTACTGCGGTCGAGTTCTGACAGCTGAAGGGAATATCCTTCGGGCAGGACGGGAACTCGAACACTGCACCCGCAGCCAATTGCATGGCACTAAGGGCAAACATGCCCATGGAGGAGAGAGATGGCGTGGAAGGCATCGTCGAGGAAAATAGACCGATAGAAGCCCTAGTGAGGGAGAATGAAGAGAGATGGTAATGGGAGAGGCAGGCATTGCGCCTATTTATTTATTTAGCAGGAGCCCCATGTGGTCTACTCCGTCCAAAGACCAAGAAAACAAGCGTGTTTATTGACTAGCAAGGCATCACTTCGCTTCGACTGTTGATAGCGGCACATGCCATGATAAGAGGCTTCTGATTTGAGGGGAGATAGAATCGACCGGCCGATGGGGAAAAGCAATGAGGATCGGACAAGACCGTCAAGACCCGCTAATCTCCTGATTCCGTTAGCCACCAAATGTCGACCTCCGAGAGCTTTCAGCCAATTGCAGAACGTCTCGGTGGTCTGGAGTAACAACCGTCGGGGCGCCTTCGGTCCAAAGCAAAAGACTGGACAGAAAAATCAGGGCAATGTCGATCGCGGACGATTGCTTGAGCACCATGTATCAGAACGTTGCATCGGTCAACTGCACCAGTCGTATCTCCATTCTGCTTCGCCAGAGTTTGTGAGCATTATCTTCCTGCACATCTCTTCTAATTAAACCGTCGGTTCCACGTGTCTATCCAATTGATGTGAAGGGCTGAATAAAACGTCGGCCCGCTCTTTAGCTTCAGTCGAAAAGCGAGCTAAAACGGAACAGCGGGGGGAAGAAAAGACTAAGGAAATAGTTTCATAAGAATGTAATTAATTCATTGGGGGTGATTTGTGCGACGATGCGCCCGTAAGGCACAAATGGCCACAATACCATCAAGACACCAAGACAACAACAAGTGACAATCACAATAACAAGGGTCTGTGTTCTTCGCGCTGGTACGAAATGCCTTGGGCGATTGTTTCACTAGAAGACTTAGCGCAACAATACTAAAAGCGAAGGCCAGAGAGACCAACTGCTCTCGCCAGGACCAGTTTCGTGGGTGCACATGCGATAATATGACTGCAGCAAGAGAGTGGCTCTTGTAAACGTACTGAATCATGCCTTCACGCATGTTCCATGGTACATACAAATGTGTCACCGAAGCAGTAATCATTGAACATCATGATAGTAGGAAGGCAGCGATAAGCTATCAATTAGTCAGTTCTTCGGTCGCTATAGAACCAACGAGGGGGAACAACACTTCTAACGGCTGGAACTTCACTCGGAAATCAACGTTTCTATATCGCAATCAGCAGAGGCAAAATATGATATTCAATTCGAAATGTAACATTTTCAGTAACATCCGAGTCTCATGTTTCCGTCCGAGAATCTGGGGATTTTGATGAGCATCGACGCTGGTTTCGGCATAGAGTAATCAAGTCACATCACTGTGTGCATTTTGCGGTCTCACGATGATTGCATAAGCGAAAAGGGAGATTCCATTAATAATGTCGCAAGCTCCTGCGATCAAGAAGTCATCAGCAGATTCTTTAATGAGAAATATTTAACAAATAAATTTAATAAGGACAAGTCGAAGAAGTTGGGATGAGAGACCGAGCGCCCAAGATAAAGCGATGTCGCGTGAGCTTGTTCTGCTGGCCTGACAGCCTGAGGCTGCCTATCAAATACCCAACGTGCCCAAAAAACACATTAAGAAATGCCTACCTATAATTTCCCACTTCAATATCAGTGATGTACTGGCAATCATGCCTCGTCCGCGGATAACCGCAAGAGCTTGGATGTGTGGATTCATTGAGTCATAACACAGTCCGATACCGGAAAACTGTGTTGAGGTACTCCGTATAACTATTGAGAGAGGATGATATAAGTCACAAAATTATGATATCTACAACCAAGAACTTGGGGCCTCTGAGATGAAGAATATCGGCTACTCATTCCACCGGTGACGATACGGCGTCCAAATTAACACCCACGATTGGCCGGCGTTCCGAGATCTCAATTCAGAATATCAAACTGCAATGGCAAGCAACAATCCACCATTTCGCATTATCCCGGCGCATAGCGCAAAACATATAGAAGCAGCCAAAGCACTTTTTATGTCGTACACCGAATGGCTAGGCCTCGACCTTACCTTCCAAGGATTCGCTTCCGAGCTCCAGTCCCTCCCTGGTCAATATGCGGCACCCCATGGCGAATTATTACTAGCCTATAGTACCGAAGAGGAGATTCCTATCGGATGCGTCGCTGTCCGGCCTCTCAAGCAGATGTCGGGCGATAATCAACGAGACGTTCGAAGCCATAGAGGATACTGTGAGATGAAGAGGTTGTATGTCTCTCCCGAAGCACGGGGAACGGGACTGGGGAAAGCCTTGGTGAATTCCATCGTTGAGAGGGCGAAGGATCTCGGTTATAAGGAGATGAGGCTCGACACCCTTCCCTCAATGATGAGCGCCATACAGTTGTATAAGAGGGTGGGATTTTTGGAAATAGCTCCTTATTATGAGACTCCCTTGGAGGGGACGCTCTTTCTCGGTTTGGATCTTACGCAGAAAACATAGACAGGAAGTAGAACATCAGTCTCAAGTGCTTCCTAGAGATTATTAAGACCCGTAAATGTGTTCAGATACTAACTAAAGACTATGAATTCGCAATACTTCCAAGTCGTACTCAAATCAGGGATCTAAGAATTTCTCATCTTAAATGTCGCCCCGTTGAAAGAGTACAGAATACATCACACAACTAGTTGTATTGCCAAAGTTTTGAGCCAACACAGACAATATACAGAGCAGTCATGTCCTCAAACTCAGACCGTTGAGCTTTGACCTTTGGGAATAGGAGCATTCATCGTACGTGGATTCCTGCAGCATCCCAAGCAGTTGTTATCATACTGTCTTCGTATGAATGCAAGAACAGAGTAGCGACTGTCGATTCGAGCTTCAAGCAGACATCGGCATGGCCATAGTTCATCTTTCTTCGATGAAGTACATTGAGAGTGCGAGCCTTCGTACCATCGTAGAGCTATATAGCTATTCGATTGACGGCGTTAACGAGCATCAAGATTTAGAAGTCAGCATTCGTGAATAATATGTAGTTGCGAGACAGTTAGGTCAAATGTAAGCGATCCAGTTGGTTTGTACTTGGTGTAGAGACTATTAAGGGTGAATACATAAAGAGGGAGTCATGACTGAGAGATCATGTTCATACCGTGATCATAGACTCCGTATGCCGTTCCTCTACGGAGTGGAAGAATATGATCGTAAGAGGGCACCAAGCATCAGATAGGGGACAAGTCTCCAACATGGGTCCTCAACTGGGTAACACCCGCACCATTCGATCTGCGAACCAACAGTCTCACCGAATCTGCCAAGTCAAAGAGGTCACGTTGACAACTTCGAAACCCGCACAGTTCCTTTCAAGATGCAACCAAATCGCACAGATCTTGGGTGAGGGTAAGGCGAATAACCCTGCTGAAGAAGAGGATCACCCCTCCATGCATATGATATCATATAATCAGGCCTAGTAGTAGCAAACCAGGTTTCTGCAGGCGTAGTGTAACCATCTCACCGGTATCCCAGCACCTGGCTATTATTTGCTCATCGAACAAGGAGTCAGAAAATGATCTTTGCAGCAGGTCAAGTAAGGACGGGATAAGGAGAACCATTGATTCTGTTCTAGCAGGATTCTGGTGCAGATGGGGCGGGGGGCGATGGCTGAGTCGGTGAGGGAAATTACTTGGATTGAAATCACCCTCACCTGACCTTGGATGCAGGGTTTTGTCCAACGGCTCACTCGAATCACGCCGGCGGTAAGCCGTTGTAGTGCAAGTGAGTACTATATTACTACTACTACTAGTAGTAGTACTACTACTGCAATGGGTTGGCGGTATGGTTCATGCAAGGCTGCACCCACCGTCCATGCTCAGCCATTCTTTTTCTTTGGGGTCAGGATTGGACTTAAAAGCCTCCGCCGCATGATAAAACTATCATCCGACATCCATGACTTCGGAATTGTAGGACTGGGCTAAGAGAGCCAAGAGGTAGTATCCGAATGCCGCGCATTGTGACGGTGCTTAAGTGAACTCTGATTGCGAGTGTCGGGCGCATGCCATGAAGCTGATTATGTTGTGCAACCATCATAGAACCCAGTCTGATTACTAACAATACAGGAGGTTGGCCAATCAATGGGGCAATCAACCAAAGGTGCATCTAGAATGCTACCATGACATGGGGTTGGGACCAACATCGGTTCCTTGGAACCAAGAAAGTTCGATAGGAATAGGTATCTCGTTGAATGATGGTTACATTCCACACTCAGCATAGAATGTCCGTGCAGTGGTATATTTTAGTCGATGGTGGTACAAGCTGGAGAAACAAGAAGTCTTCACTGGGTGATAAACTGCCTCTTCAGGTTGGACTGGATGTACATCCTCCTGGATCACTACCAACAGTGGTAGGTGGAAACTTTTTCCTCGGGTCCACCGAGTAAATAATTCGTCCAATTCGCACGAGTCATGGAATGTAGCACAAATGTCAGACAAATTACGACCGGAGACCAACCAAAGGTACCTCGTACTTCGCCATCGGTGGCCAAAAGTGTCTAGACCAAGTATCAGGTTCATCTCAACATATTCGCCAAGCTCGCCAGAGACTAGTTTGGCCCCGCTTCTTCGCAGATCATCCCGCCGGTGATACTATAGATGACCTTGGTATGGATAGGCACCAACTTGTGGAACAAACTAAATAGACGCACTCCGACAGGTGAGACAAAATTGTGAAAGAAAGAAAGAAAACTGGGAAAAAAGCGTGTCTATTGGCACATAGTACAATTCTGAGTGGGGTTGGGTTGGTTAAAAGAAGAAAATAAAACAAAGAGAACATAATTAAAGCAGGTGATCGTAAGCGTGCATCCGGACGATAGACGAGACTCCAATCGTGTGGTAGGTACGAGAGATAGATAAGTACTAAGTTGTGAAAAGATGGTACGCGCTGGAAGGCCCGCGTAAACTATAGTAGACTTGTAAGCTTTACCCGTTTACTATTTGGAAATGAGGTATGTACTTCTTCCCCAGTGCCGATGATACGCGCCAAGAAAACCGTACAGGTGGGAATTAACTAAGTAACTATATATATATATATGAATAAATTAAAAAGGAGGCAGAAAATAGGCAAGATAAAGAATAATAAAAAGAGAAAAAGAAAAAGAAAATTGGTATATACTATGGAAAGGATCGACCTCTAGTCGTGTACCTCCAGACAGATCATCAATGGCTGAACAGCCCAGACGCGTTGGTGGAAAAGAAGCTGGACAAAACCATCGATCATACGTTATGGCATGTGGGGAATCTTGTGCATTAAGCTCAAGAGAAATCCTGGTTTCTGGAATCCTTAGTTACATGCCATAATTCCGACGTTGGGCAAATAATAGCCACCCAGCGGTGGTTAGTACTTCTTAGTCAGTTCAGCCAGCGAAGTCTGGTCCATGACTGTCAATCCCCGGGGGTGGGTGGGCTAGAATGACGATCCTTGCCCGCTTGTCCAATGTCGAGGTCCTTTTTGAAGCATTGTCAACAAATTTCCTGGGTTTCATGGTTCCGCCAATAGGGACAATGCCATTGGTCTGGAATGTGAGCTAGTGGAAATAGCAACAATGAGTGGGGCCGGATCGGCAGCGGTTGGACCTAACCTATGCATGAATGGACTACCCGACCTACGTTAGTACCACTGGTTATAGTCATACATCCTGTACATTACTATGTACATACATACGTGACGTTGGGCACATCCCTCCTGGTACGCAACTAGTGTGGTCGGACCAGATCGGATCACTCAGCCCCATGTTGATATCCGTTGTAGGTCCAATACACTCGAACCCTTCTTTTTTTTTTTTTTTTTTTTTTTTCTGCGAATACCACTGGACGCCTAGACCGGGGAGCTAGAGAACCCCCCTCCCCCATTACCCCCACGACAAGATGGAGAGAGCCTGGGGTGCTTGCGGAGTTCCTCCCATGATGTCCTACGTATGGAGTACTCTCTATCAGGCGATGCCATCCATAAAGCGATCGACACCCAATTAACTTTGTATTGATGATAGCACGCTAAGCCACAAGTGAGCCGCAAAAGCTGATGCATCAGAAAACCGAGAGGGGCCACAATACGAGACTAAGAGCCACTGAAAGGAAGTCATAATCAAGTTTTTTATTTCTCTTCTTGGATTTCAATTCATGTTTAGTCTCTAGTAATAGATTATTTCATGTAGTGTTGGGCAGACAATGGACCAATCAGATCAATAAACTGGACATGGCCGCACCTCAGCATACAGTTACCCCTTTTTTGTTGGTTCCTCCCAATGATGTCGTATTATTCGGATTTAGATTGAAAGCCTCTCCAAGAACAAAGGAAATAAAGAAAAAGGGGGAAAGAAATTGTGATGGAAATGAAAAGACAAAGGAAATATGCAACGTTCAACTAAAAAGGGTAAAATGTAAAAAGAAAAACATGGAAGATAGAATCACGTCAATCGCATATAATCAGAGCTGTTTTACAGAAACGCCGTGAAGCGCCGACCGAGGCCTCCGATGCCCCATGCGTCAGTAGCCATCTAAAGACAAAAGAGAATTAGGGTGTCAAAGGGTATCATATAGGGATCCACCCGTAATGTCCTTTCGTACTGAAAAATTTAATCTTCTAACACGTCAACACTGTATTCGCGGGTATCGGGCATAGGATCGTCTAGCGTTGAGCCGCGAATTGGGCGTCCATCCGGTGTAAGTTGTCCCCGGAAGTCCGGGTCGTAGTCTGGGCTGCTCTCATCAAGCGTGGCGACGTATCGGTTCCGGCCACCCCGCTTGCTATGTGTTTTCGTATAGTGGGCATTCAGGTTGTCACTGCGAGAGAAGGCACGCTCGCAGCCAGGTACCCAGCAGACATGGGGCTTCTCTTTTGAGTGGCTCTTCATATGTCTCTTCAGATGCTCTTGTCTCTTGAAGCGACCTTTGCAGCCTGGCTCCTTGCATTTGAACTGAACCTGTTTAATAATAGATGGGAGGTTCTCCAAAGACATGCTTTGTCGAGAGGACTGCTTCCTGATCATCTTTCTTGAAGGCTGACGCTGGAGACGGTTGAGGCCGTCACGGAATGGTGGCGATTGCTGGAAGTCCTCCAGGTAGTCTCCCGCACCACCGGACAAGCGGCTGATGGGTGTGTCAGGGCCAGATGCGGTGCCAATGGAGCAGGAACGAAGTGGCGTTGTGGGGCTGTGTGTCTTGAAAGTCTGGATAGAAGTAGGGAACTCAGAGTAAGAGGGTGGTGGGGTTACCGGGCCGACCTGAGATGGGGCAATGGTTTGAGGCGCAATTGATTCGGTAGCCTGAGGGATCCATGGCATCATGTTTCCCATAGACATGGATGGGGGCACCCTCTCCGCATGGTGGAAAATAGATCGTGATAAGCAAGGATTAGTGGTGGCCTCTGGCAGATACGCGGCATGAGGACGATAGTTACTGCGAACCATAGGAGGACATTGAGGCAGGGTGTGGGGGTATGGGAGGCTGTGTGTTCCGGTCTCATAGGTTTTCGGCGCATCCGATGGGAGCCAAAAGTGCTCCACGTTATCATCATAAGCAGACAGAAAATCGGGCATATGCATGCGTTCCTGTGCTTCCATGCCACCGTAAGACATGGCCATATTCTCATTGGAAGTCATCCCCGCCAGGCGGAAAGCACTTCGCATCGGCGTGGTTCCAGTATGCCGCTCGTAGGCATGTGCTGGGTATGACCCAGCGTCTTGCCACCCAGGCGAGGCCAGTGAGCCTTGGCTATAGATGCTGGTTGGGGTTGGCGTAGGGGAATCCATGGGCGAGAAGCTGGAAGTCATCGAGGGACACTCGTTGGAACCCAATGAGTGGCAGTCAACTTCAACAGTGAGATTGTTCTGAGCTCTCATATCTTCACTGTGTTGGGGTTCACAGTCTCTTCTTTGTATATCGATGTTTGTGCCTGTTCAAGCACTGTTTAGTATGGATAGGGTTGATAGATATGTCGAACAGTATCAAGAAAACGAATGTAAGACAGTATGTATGTTATGACACAAGATTACAATGTAGCGAATGTGTAGTCAGGTGGTACAATGAGGGAAGCTAAGACCAAGCAGGACAAGAGACAGAGAGATAGACAATATGTCTGTTGGTCTAACAATGAAGGACGATGTTGCCGAAGACACTTAGGAGAAAGAATGAAGGAAAGTCGGCATGGGATTAGAGAGTGTGTAAGGAAGGATGAAAGAGAGAAGGATGAATGTGAGGTTGAGGTTGGGGAATGGAGGAGGGCAGACGAGGTGAAATAAACAAATCGCTCGGGCATATAAACCGGAAGGGTAGAAGGACCGATCGCACTTACAAGTCGAGGCCATTACTATTCTCGGAGGAGAGAGGGCAAATGGAGACAAAGAGTCAAAAAAAGAGTTCGAGGCGCGTCGCGTGCCTGAGAGACCGAAGCAAGGCCAGGAATGTAGACTATAGAGTTCCTCGAGTAACCGGGAACAAATGGTTGAACGGAAGTTCTAACGAGGATGGGGGTAGACCGTTTCCTAGGAGCGCGAATGTCTCTGGAGTAAAGGACCGCGATATCGAGGATTGGCGTCGAGCAACGAATCTGAGTCGCGATAGCGCTTATTCCTGGTTTCTGAATCAAGGATGGGCCGGTTGAAAAGGTCTCAGTTGTATAGTTATAAGGAAAAGCAGGGAGGAAAGGACCAGCAAGGGACGACGGTTCCTGGGAAATTGAAGATGCAAGTGAGGACGAAATGTCTTAGAGTTATTAACGTAGATGAGAGCAGAACAGTTGTATTAAAATTAGAGATTAGAGATTCTGAGTCTGGTCTTTAAGATTGTTGATGAGTTGTTGAAATAGTGGGATGGAGAATGATGAAGAATGACTCTTTGGGGGGGGGGAGTCAAAGACCATATTATAGGTTTACTCTTTTCGTGCGAAACGACAGTAAGTAGTAAAGCATAGTAAAGCATAGCATAGCAAGCATAGCGAGGCCCGCAATGGGGGAAAAAAAATAATAATAATAAAAATAATATTAATATTTTTTTGAAAAAATAAAATTTAAAATAAAATAAAATACTAGTAGCCAAAAAAGCAAGAAAATCAGAATCGAAAATAGACTCTTGTTCCTGTTGCCCTACGGGACAGTAGTAACTTTCCTTTCCAACGAACTCCTCTCCTCCTCCCGCCCTATGGAGCCCCTCACATACCGTTTATTATTATTATTATTATTACATTTTTATCCTTTATTAATTTATTAAATTTATCTTCCCTTGAATAAGGACTAATAAAAAAAAAGATTCGCTCTAATTGTGACTATCTTATTTGGAGCAAATCAAAAAGTCTACTCTTATTCTCCTAAGTTTATCGTCACTGAGCCTTTGGGATTTACCCTCCTTCAATGACCCCCAGTGGACCCTTGTGAAACGCAGGTATGGTCACTAAAGATCTGCTTCCATTGAATTACCTGGTGGATCAATATCCGACCAATCTAGTTATGTTTCCACATCCATCGCCACGATCATCTTAGGAAAAATAGAAACCAAAAAAAAAAAATTTGGGAGAGAGAAGAGAACGAATAGAGAGGGGGGGTGGGTTACAAAATTCAAACGCGAGTGCATGAAACGAATAGGTGTGAAGCAATACCACCCCCCCCCCCCATATTGGAATGCTCCAACTTCAGAGTCTATTCGATCCGCAGCCACCGTAGGGGCCGGCCATGGGACAATAATGGTCATAGTAAAACCAAATAATACTAGATTCAATACATACGTGCATACATCAGCAAAACTCAACCTTAACGATGGGGATCATCAGGTCTATCGCAAGTCACCCAGATTCTCGGGAATCTTCCCCGGTGTCTACTTCGTCGGTAAGCGCTAAGACACTCCGTCGCACCGGGCTAACTCGCCTGGGCTGTAGTGCAGGTCTTAGTGTTCTCGACACAGGATGATCCTTATCCACCCGGTGTACGCTAATGCTATTTAGACTCACCCCATGGATAAGGTATGGAATCCTAAACTGTAACCTGTAAGACACTGGCGAAACCCCTCTCAGAAAATCCAAGAGAATCCAAGTCAATCAAGTTCGTCACTTTTGTCTAAGAACAGTCGAAACGGATTCGGTATCCTCCGTGCCCACGATCGTCCAGCCGCAGGGACCCTGAATGAGGATCAGCGCCACCAGGAAATCTCCATGTGGAGAAGGGGGGTTCGACCTCAACATTGAAACATTATTGACGATACATATTCGTAAGGGGACAACTAATAAATCACGATAAATCAACGGTAGGGTTTCGAACAAACTTGGGGGAAAAAAAAATAAAATGGCATAAACGCAAAATGGAAAATTAAAATTCGGGACAATTGAAGAAGGACGGACTAGTCTGCGAGAGTGAGGTCATTTCCATCCTCGTCTGCTCATGATCTTCATCTTGCTGCTGGCATATTTGGTGCACGGTTCAGGTACGCGACATGCATATTCTAGTACGCAAGAGGGCTAGTAGAAATATGGACGACTTGGGCGCCACCGCACACCCCAACGTTAAGCAATTATTATCGATTGTGTTCGGGTTTAAACGCCACCATCTAGACCACTCTAGTTAGGTCACCCTCGAAAGAACGAGCGGGGTGGGGTAGGGGATAGAAGAAAATAAAATAAAATAAATAATAATAAAAGGTTGGTGCTAATTAGAAACACATAAAATTCAAAATGAAAAAGAACCAAGGTCTTCCAAGGCTGGACCCTGACACTACTTGGAGTGATCTCTACCCCATACTTACTACTAACTAATTAGTATGGGAAAAACGTTCAGGTGGTTTAAAAAGTTCTACCAGTTCAACATCGTTAACCAAATCCCGTAAAAGTCTAACCAAAGAGGCAATGTATAAATACGATTTGGGATGCTTGATTACTTGTTTTATCTATAGATAGACGAAAGTGGTTCAACAATACAAGTTAATCCAAATTAAAATCATAACCGATCCCATAGGGCAACTTTAGTCATCCTCTCACCTTAATGAATGCCACCGTTAAGGGACAATTCCTCAGCCGAAGCTGGTTCAGTCGAACCGGGAGTAGAGGTTGGGGATGAATGTGGTTCCCTTCGGGTAACCCCACCCCCGGGGATATCGATCCATGATCCCATGGTTAGGGTCCAATAGATCGATATGGCAGAGCCAACCGTGATCTACAATGCGTGTGTTGGACCGCAGGTACTGGCTAGCCTCCCGAATGCGCGCTCGGGAGCCATCGAGGGAAATGAATTGACAGTTAGGTAAGATCGTCGGGTCGTGAGTGAAACAGGGTAAGAAGCTACTGAGGAGAATCTTGGTAGAAAGTCAGTTAGCTGATAGTCGGTCTGACTCAAAGTGTAATAAGTCCGGGGACAGACTTCCAAATCATGAGACTCCATCTGGGACTTTGGTTCATGAAGAGTGGACTGGAGCCTAGTACTGTGTAAGTCAACACGATAATAGTATTATTATTCAAGTGGGACCGTCGATACCCGTCCCCATTCTTGCCAGAAGACCCGCTATACACACTAGACTTGATGTTAAGCTGACGATCAGTGGTCAGACGCACATCATCCGCCAAGAGTCAGACTAACAATGGATTGGACCAGTCGAAGACCGAGGCATTGCTTAGTTTCTGCAGGTCTGAGATTCATTCCTTCCGTTTTGATTATACCAATTTTTCTTTTGACTTTATCTTTTTATTTTATTTTATTTTTTTTTCTCCCTAATTCTCGTTGCTTTCCCCAGTTGGGGCCAACCAGCCGCACATATCGCAAGCCCACCCCCCCCTTAAGCGTGAGGTAACGTATGCCAGATGTCTCCTCTCAATCAGAAGCCCAGCCTACCACCGCCACTCCCATTGGAATGTGGGGATCTGAGTCTTTCTGATGATGATAGGATCGAGCCGGTCTTTTACCCTCTCCTGCTGCGTCACAAACTTCTTGGGTGGGATTCCAACCTCGTTCCAACTTCCAAGAAAGCCCTGATTCCTGCACTCGTGGATGGTTGCTCTTATCACACCCAATAATCAATTTTTCCAACGGCCGCATCATTGCTGTGGACTTGAGCGATGCGTAGCCAAGTGGACTCCTACTCACCAAGCCATTCGACCGCCATTCCGGAAGCCGAGCTTTTTGATCTGTCACGCGTCAGTTGGTGCTCGATTCAAAAGATGAGGGGCTCTAATCATCACGCGAGAATGAGGTCTCATACTCGACCAGTCAACTGCCTGAGCGTGCACCGGAAGCGATGAGACCAGATCATACACCAATACAATAATCAAACGGCTACTGGTGACTTGTGTGAGTTTTTTCCGAGCATCGTGGGCATTCCCTCATGATCTCACCAGTATACGTACCAACATATTTTTGTGTAGCTATTCGGATACCACGGAGCTGTAGCCAAATCGTTGATTTCAGTTTAGTCTGTGACCTAACCTAAAGATCTCTTATCGTTTCGCTAGTTTTTACGTAGACAGACTGTTGTCTTTCTCCATCGCGCGATTGGATTTTGTTTGTTGACAAGGTATGCAACAGCAAGAACCGACCGGCAGACGCCATGTCACGTTCAAAGTCAAAAAGATCTTCGACACTCGAGTCGAATATGCATGGAACGAGCAGGCCGTCTAAGCAATGCAGCTACAAACAAGTGCGGTGTGTATACAACTGTCGCGATCCCTGTTCATTTCCATTTTCTTTGTATTTTTTAATTTATCTATTTGTTTATTTTTTTTTATTTCGCTCATTTAAGCTTTCTTCATCCTTCGAAGAAGTTGAACATTGGGATTGTGCGGGGGATGGTACGTTTGTTGCCTAACGGTTTGAATGGACAATTGCAATAGATTTATTTGAGTTATTTGTAAGGTCTCGCGTGGACATCGCCGGTTTACTAATAATAATAATAAAGATGACGGATCAAGACCTTTACAACAGTACCCCTTAGGGCACAAGAGTCAGTTCGACAGCTCCCAGAGTTCGGAGTTTCTCGGTAGGCGTTCCACTTGGTGCCTCGTCGGTTGTGCTGAAAGGGGTTACTACATCCCCACAAGTGAGTGCCTGAGGTATAATCCGTACGTCTCGTCAAGTCCTGTCGCAGATCTGCGCTCCAGACTACTTACTATTGTGGAAACCAATAAGCCGACGGGACCCGTCATCAACCACGATTGGCGAGGATCGTACGTCCGTGCTTATGGGATATATCGATTGGACTCTCCAAGGTGGACAGGTACTAGATGCTCCAACCATAGGATAAGTAGGAGTAGATACGTAGAGCTTCGAGGTCTAGAATCATGATGATCATACAGGACTGATACTAGTAAGCGGAGCTATAACTAGTCCCAAATGCTATAGAGACGCAAAAAGGGACAATAATCGTGAATAGTTGCTGCTGAGCCACCGTCCACCGCCACACAAACCCGTCTGAGCCACAGGTGATCTGTCAAACCCCGAGAGTTCTTCCAGAACGGTAAATCCCCCATCGGTGGCTTCATGCAAGAATCCCAAAATGTCTTTGTCTATCGATTCAATTTGTCCACTCTTACTCCATAGGGCGTGGACGCTCCAAGTGTCAACCATGAATAATGAGTCGCTGATCGTTGCATCCATTCCAGTCAACCAAAACCTTCATGATCCAGAGACATTGCTTGATTAAACTCAACCATCCTTGAGACTCTTTCTCTCTTCGTATCGATTGCTCGGGCCCCGAATGTGGCTCTGAAGTTATTGACTCACTATTCCTGCTTGACGCAAGAGTGTTCGAGTGGGCTGAAGTTTGTGCGGTAACTCTAACCCCCGTCCGTATACTACGCTTTCTGTCTAGGTACATATTTCCTGTTCTCGGGCTTCGACCAAACCCCGCGTCTTGAATCCCTGATTCCATTGATTCCACCGATTTGGTGCCCCATTCACCCTGAATATCGCTACCCTCGAAGGTTGACGCTGTGTGATCAGGGCAGTTCGTTCCAGTATTTTTCTCCCTTCTTTTCTCTTCCTACGGTTCCTCTTTTCTTCTCTGCAGTGACGTAGTACCGGTTTTTTGTGAGCTCCACTAACAAGCGCGGTTAGTTTACCAAATCTTAATCTCCGAGGGTTCTTATACAATATAGAAAGCTGACAAATTCGTATTGTTGGATTCTGAACATGGCTACAACAAAAATATGCAGCAGCTCATTCGTTGAAAGTACCAGGATCTCTTTTCCTCACCCTCGTATCTTGACCCCTGCAGCACGGGCCTGTATGCCGCAAGGAGTCAGCCGGACAATTGGGGCATCCCCAGGCCCTCCTTAGTGTTCCTGCGGTGAGATAATCGTCTTTACCCCACCGATGATGCTGCCAAGGCTGTTGGTGAATCGCTTTGTGCTTAGTCTGGGTTGCATCAATATATTGGATCTGGAGGGGATCAGCCTCATTCCGTGCACCCCTTCTTACGGTATAGGCCCGGGCCTCCATGCATCCAAAACATATCGAGATCCTTATTATGGATCGCTCCACCAATTTCCAACGGTTATTACGCAAATTGAATGTGGCGGTTCCCACGACCCAACCCCTGTTCGGATCCAGACTGTTGCTCCTGGATCTCATTCTCCATGCATGGTAATCTTCAAGACAACATCATGGTCGTAAAACCAAATGCCCCATTTTACAATTCCTCTTTGCGTGTACAAAATTCTGGCAAATATTACGGTAACTCCCAGCAAGGTTCCTGATGTCCGCCACAATTGGAGTATGCGCCCCATACTTCCCGTGCTCATGTACTGAAACAGCCGATCCTTCCTTGTCATGGAAGGTGAAATAAGTACTCCGTACAAATAATGACTATCTTGCTCAATTCCAGATACTAACACGTTGAATTTGGCCCAATTGCCTTACAGCTTTAAATCACTCAGGCCGGGTCTCTGAAGGTGAGTTGTTCTGGCGAGATAGAACTGAAGCTTCATAGCCCTTACCGGGCCCCATCGGGCCTCC